AAGAATTAATCATATGTTGAATACTTTCAAATGAATTTTTTGTATTGTCATTCGTATGATTAATATTTGGATCTAACCAAATAATAATATAATATTCAATAATACTAGAAGAATTTATAAGAGATTTATTGACGCTGGTATTTTTTGTCATTGGAGTAATAATTGAAGAAAAAAAAACGATCCAATATTGTTTATTGAAGTTTCTTATTTTAGCAAAATTGAACAAATGTATTAGAATTTTTTTTTCATAGAAAAACGTCTGTCTATTAATAATATTTTCTGTCTTGTTTACTTATTTGTTTTTCTAAGTTGGAATATTCGCCATTCTTCGTATGTTGTATAAAATTCTGGTCGCCATATTATAGTTGGTAAAAAAAACAATTTTTTTTTTCTTTTTTTTTGCTTTACTGCTTACAACGTGATCAAGTAACAACGGCAGAACAGAAACAAAACATTACCATCAACACACCTTATTCATAACCTTGTTTTTTCTTTTTACATCAAATCGAAAATGAAACAGGTTGGTATTTATTCAACATATCAAAAACAGAATTTGAAAAACTTATCATTGACAAAAAAAAAAATAAGACAATTTTTTATTGTACGAAAATATTTGAGTAGAAACTTTAAAAATCTTCATTCGATAAACAGTATATATAAAAAAAAAAAAAAGTACACATTATATTTAGAAAATTCTGACTAATCAGGCACATTCCTTAGTGTATAGAATTCATATTAACATTCATATACAAGTCAAAACACCTAAAAAAAATTCATTTAATTCAATTTTTATTTTGTTTGTTAGGTGATAGTGATCGTCAATCGTTTTAATGAATTAATCATTTGAATTTGTAGGAATTTTAGCGGAATATCCATCAAGTGAATATTGCGTAGTAGTTGCTGTTGTTTATTACTTATTGTGAAAATATAATCATCTAATAAGGGTAAAGATCTTACTTTTTGTAAATTAATAAATGAAATAACAGGAGACGTCAGCTAACCTACACCCAAGAGAAGATGAAATAGCTATGACCATGATGATAGACTTTTACTAGAAAACATCCCTTTTTCTTTTTAACATTCTTTAGTTTCGACCTTTCTACACATTACACTCAAATTTTTCTTAATTGATTCTATTCGTTGTTAACAAGTAATTAACTTTATCAAGATTTGCTTTTCATCAGATCTATTTTCTGTCTCTTTTATTTTTTTGACAAATAAAAACTCTAATTGATCATAATTGTTTCTCCGTCGATGATTTAATGAATGGTAAAAAGACATAGAAATTGACAAAAGCATTATACAAATATGAAAATAATGTTATGATATATCGACAAAGGGAAAATAAAGGAAGGAATCGGAAGAAAAAGTAATAAATTATACTTACAAAAAGAAGAATAAAATTGATTGATGAATTTTAGACTTACATTTGCCTTATGTCAGCTTACACATGAATATATAATTATTTATCAAAAACCAAAGTAATTGCATTAGACGATAACGGTTAGTCCAAAATGCGTGACTAGTTTTGTATAATAAATGTTCTCGTAGAACTATTAATTTGTTCTTTTAACTAACTCAATAAGAATGTTATTCATCTAGAAATGCGCATCATATTGAAAATCAAATTATCCGGTTCAATATTACCCATTTAGAATGAAATCGTTGATCAAGCGTAAATAAATTAATTGATTTGCATTGCAAAACAATTTTGTATGATTTTATGATTAATTGGATATCTAATGGGTTAACTAAATATATTCTATAATGAATGTTGCAGTATGAAAATCACTTTTCTTTGACTTTTGTCTTTTTTTTATGAATGTATTAATTTTTGACTACTGTTGTAAATCATTCTGTTTCCAATGTACTACATCTTAATCAATCTTTCACTAAATCTCTTTTTATTATTTGATTTATTTCCTGTCTTAATGATTGTCAACACAAAAGAAAATAAAAACTTTCATAAGACTAACATTCATCGATAATGTTAGATATTTCCTAACGAGAATTTTTCCTTTTTAAAGACACAATTAATATATGTTGCCAGGTAATGTCTAGTTTATGTATTAGATATCTAACTAATCATAAAAAAAAAAGTCTTAAGTAGTTTCACAATGTGACATTTACATTTAGTCGACGACGTCATTTTAAATGCGTAAAACATGAATAGTTGATTTTATTTTAAATATGATAGACATTGTTGTTCTTCGAATTTTGTTACTAAGTGAGATAGAAGGATCAATTTATGACCATATTGAAGAGCACCTGTTATTATGCTTACAAGAATATTTATTGTACAAAACAACTGTTGGACATAGATCATTTTTTTTGATCTAATTGTTTTTTTTTCTGATGTATATTTATTGATTGTTGTAATTACTATACAATAACAAAATATCTTAAATAGTTCTAATGAGTCATTCAGAAACAAAAAGAAAGTAAAATTATATTGAAGCATTTTCATTACTTTTGTGAAATGTATGGGCTATTGTAACATGTCATTCGGAAATAATTAGTACAGTACAACTTGTTCTGTTCTAATAAGAGCTAACGTGTACATAACTCGAAATTCAAGTGGATTTTATTATTCATTAGTTTATATATGGTTTGATAGAGCTTGAAGAACTAATTACAAATATATACTTTTTATTTAAATTAGATTACCTATTCGTTGCAAAAAGCTCAAGACTCATACAAACCACAGACATAACTAGAATAACTTTTATGTAATTCACCATCAAAAGTTGAATAGGAAAATATTATTTAAGGTAAAAATCGCAGCCAATATATATAAGAGTTGTAACAAGTGTTGATATGGACTCTTTTGTAAACCTATCTAGTTTTTTGTGACAAAAGATAAGATCAAGTATTTTATCTCATCTCAATCAACTGGTTTTCAACTACAAAAGTAAACATTTTGTTCTTTCAGGATTTTGTTTTATTGTTGAAACAATCAAAAATCTCCTCGTTTTGATAGTAAAAGGACCAAAAAATAACCTTGTTCCTTGCAGTTACTATTATAAAAATTCAATTGAAAAAGAAAATAGAGAACATATTCAGAATTAATGTGAAAGCCTATATCGAGTTACATAGTTTTCAGCAAATTTTCTATCAAATGGAATATCGATCTTAGGCTAAATTTCAAAAGAAAAATGCTGAGAGGGAAATATAAATGTGTTTTCCGTAGAAAAGAAATTTTACTAAAATATATGTAATTCGATGCAAATTTTCACGCTGATTCTGAATATGAATAGAAAAATTTTAAGCCGAATTTGATTTGGTTTAGATTGCATTGGAAAAAGATATTATGTAAATTGACATATTATCCATTATTTTGTCATGTCTCTCCCTGACAATGACAGTTATCAATCATCTGTCCTAGAATATATGTACTTGTATATATGATACTATATTTTGTACAATACAAAACCAAGTATATGCTTGATTTTTTTCTACATTTCCACTGTTTGATACTAGAGGAAAGTCGAATACTTTTCATGAGTGAGTCATTGGACGCTTACTATCATTAGACAGTACTTGGAAGTTATTATTAGTATTCAAAACTGAAGGTTTTATAGTATACGTTGAGTGTACTATTGACAAGGAAAACAATGAGACTTCATTACTCCGAAGTACAAGTGAAGTACTAATGAGGTACTAATGAAGTACGGTACTCCACTGTACTTTACCGTAGTCTATTAGTACTTCATCGTACTGCACGTGTACTTCGGAGTAATGAAGTCTCACTTTTTCCCCTTTTAGTTACAGATTAAGAAGATCATATCGGAGAAGACTTTGTGCGCAAGATAAGGAAGACAATGAATGTTCATTCAAATTTGAAATAATTACTGTGATCAGTTTTGGTCTCTGCTCATTTTACTTCTAAAACAAGAAAATATTTGATTTTCTCAACAATAAAACGAAATATGAAAAAACTAAATTGATACCTTTATAATTCGAAACTAGTTGATTCAAATGAGATAAAACATTCCACTTTATCTTCTGTTACAAACAGCAAGATAGACTTACAAAAGTGCCTATAAGCACAGACGATAAGTCTACATTTATTAATAGCGGTTTTTTACCTTAATTTTCTATTCAGTTTTTTTGATATTGACTTAGAAAAAGGATTATACAAAAGATAAGAGTCGTTTGGAGAAAAAATTGATTTTGCTAATATCTGTGCTCTTATCAGTGTTTGAAACTTTTTGCAACGAAAGAGTAACGCAATTGAAAAAAAAAGTATATATTCGTAAACCAGCTCTATCAAACCTTATATCAATCAATGAAAAATAAAATCCACTCCAATTTTTGAGTTATGTACATCTTATAAAGCATGAATAAGATCGATCAATACCAATAAGTAATATTAGATTTTAAACGCTATATTTATAACTATATAATTGTATATAAATTCGATCATATTCAAATTCTCGTCTTTATTTCGTTTTGTATCAAATTTCCTTGGTATTAACATGCCGCAAACCCATAAATTCAATCAAATATGATTCATGGTCAATGAATGAATACAATAATGACATATATATATTTAATTCATAGATTCCATTATAATGTCAAATCTATCATAAAAAAAAAAATATCTATTCTTCTACATTAAAACTTATCATATAAAATTCTCATCAAAAGGAATAAATTAAATAATTCTACGTCATAAATCATATTTTCTTTGTTTTTTTTTTTTAAATAATCTCTCGACATCATTGTTCATATATATATATATACTTTGAAAAAGAAAAACAACAACCAAAGAAAAAGAAAAAAGAAAAACCAAAGCAAACTCTCACTTTTTCCGTGCCAAATACACAAAGGAAAAAAATACACAACACACACATATATATATATATAAACACTCACTCACACACATCCTGTACAAAAGATGACACACATACTAAACAAGCACAAGTTGGAAAAAAAGAAAAGAAAAGAACAATTCAGAATGAATAAAAAAAATCTAATGATGTGAAAAAAAAAATTCATCAAATTGTTGGTAAACCTTGATGTTCAATAGATATTATTTTTTGTGAAACTGTTCGAATTATAGTTGATCTTGAACATGTATCAAGTCGAATGAAATAAATCAAAAATAAAATAAATAATAAAAAAAGTCCAAGTAATAATGAACGTAACCACAGTTGTTTTAAACGATTCCAATATGAATTTCTTAAAGTATTTAATTTTCTATTATCTTTATTTATAGATTTTATTTTATGTGAACGTTGAATAAGTGTTGAATCATTAAGATTAGAATTTGTTTTTATTGATGGAGATAATAATTTTTTATTATTATCTATTGTTTGTTGATTAAATATTGTTGATGATGATGTTGATGGTGGTAAACTTATATGATCATATTCAATTCCACTATCAACTTGTTGTTGTATTTTTGTTTTTATTAAATTCACCGGTTTATTTAATTCAACATCATCATCATCATCATCAGATGATTCATGAATTTGTTTTATTATTTTTGATGATTGTTGAATATTATTTATTGATTGTGGAATTTGTTTATGATAATGATATTCTTTATTTGTTGATGTTGTTGTTGATGTATCATTTGTTCGTTCATAAAAAACAGGTTTAGCTACTTCAATAACTGTTTCAATATATAAAACTTTACAATCATCAGATATATATGATGATGTTGAACTTTGTTTCGTTGATGTATTATCATGAAGAAAACTTTCTAGAAAAGAATTATATGAAGAAGAAAAAAAAACATGTTAGCGCAATCATTCAGGGATTAATATGTAAAACATGACATAAATGCTGTTACTAATCACAGAAAATTGCTTTATTCTGACTATTTTAGAATAGATCTCCCCTCACGATCGTTTTACTTAATCCTCCGGAAATACAATTAAGAAAATATTTGAAAGAAATGTTATCAATATATGATCTGTGATGTGAAGCCTGCCCGATGGATCTCGAACGCAAGTGGTGGTCGGAAAATTTTCGATCCGACGAGTTCTAGTCTCAAACTCGTGTCTATAGAGAGAAGTTCAAAAATCTCTATTGCATATACTTCAATACTCGTTTTAGATCATGTTATACAAAACAAAAAAATTCTTTTTTTCGTTTAATTTAGTTTTAACTAACGATTAATATCATTTGATGTTGCTGTTGTTGTATAAGTTTCTGTTCGTTGAGATCTGTTTCTTTGTGTATTTTGATTAATATCATTGGTATAAAATTGTGAAATTGATGAATTATTATTATTTAAATTAATTGAACCATCAAATGAAACATGTTTTGATTGTGTTTTTCGATTAAATTCATTTAACATTTTTTTATATAAATCTAATTTATGTTCACAATGTGTTTTTAATTTTAAATGTAAATTATTTGTTGATAGTTTTGAATAATTTATATTACATATTATATCTTCATATTTATCAATTAATTTTTGAATATTTTGAAGTTCAATCTAAACAAAGGAGAACAAAAGATCATAATAGAAACACGTGTATATAATTTATTACTTGATAATTGTTATTGTATTCACAAGCTGTCAATTTTTGTTCAATCTGTGTTTCAATGGGTAGAATACTATCAGTAATAGTTAATAATGTACGTAATTGAGTTTGATATGTGTCCATTCTGAATTGAATAACAATAGACAAAATATATTTAACGAAAAAAAAAAATAATAAAAATTAAGATCTTACTTATCAGTAAGTTGTTCAAGTACTAGACGGCAACTATGTAAATGTTCAACTACACTTGATGATGATGGGCTATTTAAATGTGATATTTGATATTCGTTAAGATGTTCTTCAGCTAAAAGAATATCAGTACGATAGGAAGCTAATTTCTAAATGAATAACAAAACATATATATGTTATTTGATTAGATTATTTATAAGTTAATACTTGTCGAGAATCTTGTTCGGATTCAATTTCATAATTAATTCGACGCATTAATTCAATTAAAGAATTTTCATCTAACCATAGATGTTGACGATTATAAATGGAATCAATATGGGATAATTCTTCGTCTAAACGTATTTTCAATTTTATAATTTCTTGTGATATATATAATAATTGACGTGCACGTATTCGATCATCATTTACTTGTTGTCGCATATCATGCCAATCAGATAAATATGCTAAAAAAAAATAAGATTAACAATCAAAGATTAAAATACACTAAAGGAAATGGTAGGCATCTGATGTACATATGATCTACTGCTATTATTTTTGTTACAAAACATTCCGATAAATCTATTGATGAATATCTGAGAATGATTCATCGAATGTCTGTATGTATATATATATAGATATATGAATGCAAGCAATAAAAAGAAAACTAATCCTCACAGCATGCCTATACAACACAGGTAACTTTTCGAAAGTGTGAAAACGAAATTCTCATATACATCGAATATAAACAATAAGAAAAAAAAAGAAAGGATTAAATAAATAAGAAACTGTAAAGAATAAAAGAGTAACTTGTCACCTGTGTGGATGATGAAAAGAAAATCAAGCTTCAATGTATTCCTACAGATCAACAATTAAATCAGCTTAACATTTGGCTTTTTTATTCTCATCATCATAGTAAATTTGACCTTCTTTCTTTCGTTTGTGATGTAATGAAACAAGACACTTACACGATTGTTGTCGAGTTAGTAACGTCGAATCTGACGTAGTATAACGTGCGTATGCAACGTACGTGTATGAGTGGAAAAAATAGTTGTGTTTCTTCTTCGTTTTTTTTTTTTTTTTTTTGCCTTCCGACCCTTTCTCTATCGCCTTAATTCCGTTAGTAAGCAATAAGGATGTGGTGATGTTTTTGCTATGTTTCTCTTTTCTGTTATCGAAGGACACACTACTTACTATAGCGATCGAGTAATACAAAAAAGAAGAAAAAAGAGAAAAAGAAGAGAAAAGCATGCGACGAGAACGCAAAAGATAATATGGCGATTATACATAAGCATGTATACAATAGAATGATATTGCACAATATCTTTGTTGATTAGGAAAACAAGTATCTTCATTAAAAAAATACAGTTCTTAATCGACTACCATTATTTTCAAGTAGTTAGAAACGAGTAACAAATGTTTACCATCTCAAGACAAGTGATAATGGTATCAACATCGTGTCGATTTTATGGTCATCAGCTTCTGAACACATTAGAATATGTGCAGTGCTTACTGCCTTTACTATATGTATTTATATATATTTAAGTATTCTATTGTATTTAAGCACATACATATTCTTAATTTAATTGATAGAAGTGTACAACTCTACTTTTCTTTTTTTTTTTTCTTAATTGTCTCTTGTCAAGTGGAGACAGACTTGAACATTGTCTATGTGTAATAGGAGCTACTGCTGTTAGTAATTGTACTAGTAGTCTATATAAAAGACGAATAAAAGACAAGAAATTGAGAAACAATGAACGAAAGAGACGTTAAATAAACACACGCGTATAAATATATTGAACAGTATTCTACGAGAAAAGAAAAAGGTGGCGTCTATCTAACGATAATGGGACAGGACGGATAATTTATGTCTTAAATGTGTATATGGGAAAGTGTAATCGATTGAGTATAGACATTTAGGACAATTTTTATTAAAATGGAAACTCCCCCACACTTTCCACACTTTGATATCAATCATAACGAATGTCTCTTATCTGATATTCCGGATGTTCACATTTCATTACAAATCTATTTGTTTTTCGTGATAAAATGAACTATTTTTTAATGATTTCCGCCAATGATCAAAATGAAATTATTTCATCTTGAAAGAGTTGTAAGAGGCGTAGTTGACATGCAATAATTTCATCTAATTGATTTTAATCGCATATCCTTTAAGATAAATCTCTTACTTTGTAATTGTTCAATAGCTTTTGTACTATTAAGACGTGAATTTTTTGATCGATGAAGATTTTTTAAAATTTGTTGTAAACATTGAATATTTGTTTCACATGTTCTTAAAACTTCATCCTAATTAATAAGAAAGAAAAAAAAAATGTATATACGCATTAAATTATAAAACGATATGATTCATAATTAAGCAATTTACATATTTTCGTAGATTACGATCATTTAATGCAAATGGTTGTTGACGTTTTTTCTTGTCTAAACTTTGTCGTGCTTTATATAATTGTCGTTCAGTTTCGTTTAAAACGTAATTGAAATCATCTAAATCCGAATCTGAATCTAATACTTGTTTATTTCCAATGACACCCGTAACACCTCCTGTCAATGATGATGATGAACCACCGTTATTCTAAATAAAAAAAAAAAAAAAGATCATCATCAATGATTGTATCATATATATCTAAATACATATGTAAAAGCTTATCCCCGAGGGCGTCAATGATACAAATGCACATTCTAATTATCCATTGTCAAACGAATATATATAAGGATCAAGAAAAAAAAAGAAGATACTCATCGATTTTCAAAGAAAGATGTAAAAGTATCGAAAGAGTTATTCATAAGTTGTCAAGACAAAAGATAGACGCTCCAAAAAAAAACAAGCACTCGATAAACCTTTCTTTTCAATACATTAATCGTATTCATCTGTGAAGGTCGATAAATAAAAATAAAAAATGAAAAAAAAAAAACAAGAACAACAACAACAGAAAAAAAATAATCTTTATTTAAATGCTGTGAATTCAATGGACCGTACAATAGATGGATACGGCTAATTGAACATTTTCTTTTCTTTGTTTTTCTACTTTTATGATCATCAATATTTACCTGATGACTCTTTTTCATTGTATCTTCTGTTTCTTTTTTTAAAACTATATATGCAAGTTTAATAGTCCAATGATCAATGTTAACAAACCACATCACTAGGCATTGGAAAGACAACGAACCCACAAAGAAAAAAAAAGAAAGACAGCTAAGCGGAAAAAATTGGTGGAAGAAGAAGAAGAAAAAAAAAAGGAAAAAAAGGCATCTCTCATTTTTTTTTTTTTGCTATTCTATTCTTTTCTACCCCTTATTTCTAATTACCATAGTGTTGATGACGGCACGAGCGTGTATTGAATTTTTTTTTGCTTTATATGCGCATCGTTAGTAATCAACAGAATGAGAAAAAAACGAACGAAGGGGAAAAGATAGAACGTTCAATTTGAGTAGGATATTTGCCTGAATTTTTTTTCTCATAGATAATAGAAATTGTCAGACATTAATCTACTTTCTGTGGTTTGTATCTATCCGAAGAAAGAAAAATGTGTCTGACGATTGTGTATAGGATACAAATGATGAGCAACAAAAATAAAACAAAGAATAAGTGAACGTTTGACCTCTAACAATGTTTAGCCATTCTTTTATTGAAATAACCAGACATGGGTATGAATGAATCAAATATATGTATGTCCTTGAAATGCTATCAGAAGAAATAGTTATTTTACGTTTCATTACCACTTGTCATCGAAAGAAGTACATGAGTAAGACGGCTTCTTATTGTCACTTGCTTTGATGTAAAGAAAACAGAAATCAAATTTAAAACTGTTCCCTGTATATCTATGTGATCTATAAGTAGTAATATCTTGTGAGCGATCGATCATATACAATCGTTGTGTTTAGTGTCTTAAGTAGTATTGATAAGTGATATATGTATTACTTGGGATGTTTTCGTGTCTTTGCATTTTTTTTTTCTCATTTTTTGATTTTTTTTTTTTAACTTTTCAAATGTTTTGTATATAATGCGAAAAAATTGTTTGTCTTAACGTTTACTTTTCGATTAGAAACGAGAAATATTAATAGGTTTTATAAGAGGCGAAAGATCAACCTTGAGACATGCTATAATCAATAAAATTACCCTCGGTGGTATTGTTATACAAAAATGAAATATATAGAAAAGAAATTACAAATCGTATAAACTATTAAGATCTATTGTATGAAGGACAAACGATTAAGATCTTTTTAATGATGAATTCATATGTCTAGAATTACTTTCAAACAAGGAACATATTGTAAGAAAGAAAGGCTTTTACTTATTCCTTTTTGAGATAATATTTCATCTGGAAAAGGTCTAAATGCCACTAGCTTCGTTCTAACTAAAGCAAAATTGATCAGTGATTTGTTTATATAGACATAACCATTTGATAAATGCTATCATAAACATCTCTAGGGACTAGGTTGATATATCATTTTAAAATATGATTCATATGAAATCTATCACGGAATAGTTTATTTATATATGAAATAAGCATTAGTTCATAATGATTGACTCACTTTTATAAAATTGAAATAATAAAGTCTACAACGTATCGACTACCTATATGAATGAATTCCTTCGTTTTCTTTTCTTAATGTAACTATATATTTTTACTTAATGTAAAACGTTAAAAGGTTTCAGACTAAATAACATACTTGAACTAGTGAAGCAAAGAAATGAGAAAATGAAATTTCATTTTCATCGAAATAGACATTTTTCAAGGTTTTTTAAAATCTTCTCTATCATATTTAGAAACATATGACATTGATTTTATTTTCTTTTACTTTAAAAAAGAAAACTTTGATGTGTTTTGTTTTACCCGTAAAATATATTTAAAGTTTTCATTTAAATGAATTTCATCATCTGATGATGAATTATTTGGTTGATCCATTTCTAAAAATTGATCTTCCCATTTAAGTGTTGTTTCTATTGAATCCATATCTTGAGAATTGAAATGATAAAAAAGTGGATTCTAATCAAATTAAATTAAAAAAAAAAGAAAAGAAAATTTTCAAATATTATTTTTGTTTATTTACTTGATATCCGTCCCAACAAGGCTCAGAACTTTCAAATTTTTCGTTTATAATTGTATGAAGTGAATTAAATCCTAGAAAAAAAAAAGTCATATGCAATTGGATTATTCAAAGAAATATAAAGCAAAGCAAAAAAAAAACAGTTCTAACCATCTGAAGCAACCGCCGATGGTAAAGTCAATGTGTCATTCTTCATTTTAGACACTTCACCTATTCAAAAGAAAAAAAAAAAAAAAAAAAGAATAAATAAATGATGTAACTAACAATAGTCAAATTCTCTTGGGTAATAAACATCGAAAATTCTTTTCGTATTGTTTAAAAAAGTCAATATAGAACTGACTTGAACTCATTTTAAGACAGAACAATCATTAACATATTCATGTTTTCTTACCGTTTTCATCATAAAGTTGTATTTGTTGATCTTCCGTTTCCGATGGTGTTGTTGTTGTTTCTAATTCAATATCTGATGAATATCCTGTTGTTGTTGTTGTATATCTATTATAAAATTGAGATTCTGAATTTTGATAATGATGAACAGGTGATGTTGAATTAAAATCTGATGATAAAATATCAACATCATTTTCTGATTGTTCAGGATCTGTATATTCAGCACTTGCATCATATGAATTAGATGTTGGATTTAATGGTAATTTTTTTTGTTTTATATTTGAACTTAATGATGATAATGTTTGTTGTTGTGAAAAAGATTTTATACGTTTAAATTTCGTATATTTTTTACTATACATAAGTAAAGATGGTTTTGTTTGTTGTTTTTTTGTTTCTTCAATACTAAAATCAATATCGGGATTTGAACATGTATCATATGCTGATGTTATTGAATGTCTCCACCATGTTGGAAAATGATTATTATGTTCAAATAATGGTAATGAATGTGTTAAAGATAAAAAAATATTATTATTTGGTATTGGTTGTCGAATTAAATAATCACTTTGACTTTTTCTTATATGATATACTGAATGAAGATTTTTATCTAAATGATTATTTTCATCTTCACTTTCATATCCTATGTCTAATTTTGATGATGTTTTCTTATGTTTCTTTGTTATTGTTTGATCATCAATGTCATTTATATTTGTTAATGAATAATAAAATGTTGATGGAGAATTAATTGGTAAAAGATTTAATGACATACGTCGTTTTGATGTTGCCATTTTTCTTTTTATATAAAATGGTTTTGATTGAATATTATTGGTAATATGTTGTATTAATGGAGATCGTGGACGTTTACGATTATGTGTTGAAAAATTTAAACTATCTATACTACTGTTCGATGGTGTAAGAGGAATTTTTTCGTATTCACTTGAATTAAATGGAATAATATCTTCTTCTTCTTCTTCTTCTTCGTCTCCTGCTTCTTCAGTTTCTTCGTCTTCGTCGATTAAAACAAGTGAAGTTGTATTCTAAAAAAAGAAAAAACAAAGAAAAGAAGACACATGAGTTCATTTAATCAGTCAACCTGAATCAAAATCATGAGGATAGTTTTTTTTCTTGCTTTGATCTTTAAAATAGTCTTAGTTCAATTTCCGAATAAAATTAACAGTTGCCTGACTTGAGGTCACTTAAAGTTTTTTACCTGTGTAATAATGTATCCTACTGATCTTCTTGTTACTACCGACTGTCTTTCTCTCTAAGGACATATAGTGTTCAATTAAGCAAAAGCGAATATGGGAAGGAGAAAAACGAGGAAATTTGAGATTATGAGGAGAAATGATGATGATGATGTAACCAATGTCTCTATTTCTATATTGCTCTTTTCCTGTCCGTTTGACAGGCTGTATCAGCCTTCATACTTCTGCTGTTATCATTACTCACTCATTCAGTAATTCATTCATTTGCTCATCAACGAACAAGCAATAGTGTTGAAGCGCAAATCCGTTGACTAGTTCTATATTGTACTCATACATCAGCAGAAAAAAAAAAAGGATACAACATTGTAATGTGTGAATTTGAGAAAGAGGGGAAAAGCCCAAGCATCATAAATTACGTTAATCACAGAGAACATACTTCAATAGAACTAGTTTCATGGCCAAAAAGAATAATATGTTCTTTCGAGCTGTCAATTATTCGACAAATCTATCTATCTACAATATTCTAGCTGATATAAATCATAGTCAGTGACCGTGGCACTCTATTTAGTATAATACAATAGAAGAGAAGACGAGAATGATTCAAATTACTTTTCGCTTTCCTCGCTCTCTCTCACTCCGTCTATGTATTTAACTCTCTTTCTCTGTATGTATTCAGTTCCTGTCTCTGTCTGCATTGCATCTTTGACGCGACTTCAATTTTCTTTTTTTTTTCTCTTCATCATACCAATTCTTTTGTTATTCTTCGATAGACAGATTCTAACATACACACATATAACTAACAGAAGATTAAAAAAACGAACTATATCTTGTGATGATGACACACGAATAAACGGATCAACACACATATATATATATATAGACATATACATGCGAGAAAGAAAATCGAGAGAGCCATATGACTGATTGTATATCGATGTTCAAGCATATTATTTTTTGATCTGTTTATCTAAGTAAACTAACGAAATTATTTCTATACAGAAGAGATCCCAAAGGATATATTGAAACAAACGTCATCTAACCTGCTATAGACGCAGGCATTCTATCTTCAATAGTTTATGTCAACTTTGAACGAACTGATGGCAAGCATATGCCAAAAGACAAATAACAAGCTGACACAAACGTCCATATATATATATATATATATTGGATGAATGAACACATTTATTTCTCTTTTCAATATATTGGTCAATCATTTCTTATGGGCAGCAGATCGGTTTCTTCAAAACAGAAAAAGAAAAGAATATTGGACTTGTCAGGTACTTACAAGTCATTTTCTTTTAGACAAAGACAAGGAGCAGAAGGTTCATCATATATTATTAGTAACTTGTTCGGTCATATTCTATACTAATAATGAATAATTTATATAACCAGGGACGATTTTACCTTCATTCACACTCTTTTCTCATTTTGTTTGAAGTATGTCATCCAACATACGTTCAAATGTATGTTTAATTTCACTCATATATATATATTACTTCTCCACCTTGTCTTTTTTCTTTACTAAGTGATAGATAAAGCAACAATAAATAAAAAAACTTACTTTTGCCTAGTAAGATTGAAGTAAAAATGCAATTGTTAAAAAAAATCGACAATCATTACAACTGAAAAACGCTTTGTCTCCTTTTTTTTCTCTCTCTCTGTCTCTATCTCGAGCAACCATCGGTCGAAATTGTTAGACAATGAACAAAAAAAAAAGAAGAAAGACCGACCGAGTAAGGGAAGAGAAGGAAAAAAATGAACGCTTGCGTTTGCTCTCTTGGCTCCTCAAGTACGACAATACATACATGAGCTGTACCTTGTCAATGAATAGAAAAAGAAAATTAAACATCTACATGCACACACACACACACATAGGTCAATCTACTAATAATCTAAAGTCTTCTCTCTATAATATATGGCTTGGTAATTAACAGGAGGACATGCACTGATGAGAAAAAAAGATACAATGATAGTATTGAATCATGCTTACGAATTATACGTAAGCAGACATGCATGCTATTTCAGACATAATGTCATGTAGTAGATGTAAAACAAAAAATAACTATCACAAATGTCTATATTTCTTTTTTTTATATTTGATTTAATTCATATTTCAATCAGTAATCAATAATATATTAGCATTTTTTGAAGGTAAAATATATTCAATTTATAATGAAAGAAAAAAAAAACTATGCAGGAAGCCACATCAATCAATGCCAGACAACAAAGAGAAAAATCTTACTTGAAAAGTTTTCAAACGTTCTTCAAGTTTACATTGAATTTCAACAGAATTAATCCATGTTTGATGCCATCGACTTTCTAGATCACTTGCTAAATCAAATGGTACTTGTTCAACTTGTTGTTCATAATCATTTTTTAAACGTTCACAAATTTCAATAATCGATGAAACACGACTATTTCTTGATTTAATTTCGTCTTGTAATATCTAAATTATGAAGAGAAAAAAAAAAACAAATCAATTAATCTATTTTAACATTGACCTATTTGAAAAAGACGTTTTAACACCTATTAAAAATGTCTTACCGTATGTTCATGAAGCTTAAATTGAAAATCTTCTAATGAAATGTCATCACTTCGATTTGATTCAAATGTCCATAATTGTTCTTCTGTTTTACTAAGCCATTCTTCAAATAAAATTAATTCATTATGTAAATCTAAAGAATAAAAAGAAAGAAGTATATTATTCTTTATTTTATTTAACAACTTAAAAAAAACAAAAACCTTGAAGTATACGATCAAAATTTTCATCTAAATAATCAATAAAACATGATTCAAGTAAATTCCATTGTCGATTTATTCTTATCATTTTATCATGAATATTTGATTTTAAATCAGAAAAACGTTCATATAATTTATCAGCATATTGACCAAACATACGTAAACGCATAAGACCTTGTTCATATAATTCTTCATAATATCTCTAAAAAAAAATAAAGAAAACAATTTATTTAAAGAAAAAGAAAATAATTTATTTTCATTTACTTGTCGAAGATAACGTGTTAAATCATTTGTTGAAACTTTTGTAATTGTTTCATAAATTTTTTCACACCAATGATATAATTCACTATATTGTTTTTCAAATTCATTATAAGATACATGATGAACAGAAAGATCATTGAGAGATGTAAATGGTTCACTTAAAGAACCCTAAAAGATTTTTCTTATATAGTTTTCTAACTATAAATATATGACAAATATAATCTTACTTTACAACGACAAATAAGTTCTTCAGACATAAGATAATTATAATCATCCACTAATGTTCCGTTCCAAAATTCTTGTCGTTTATTATTGTCTTTGTCTTTTGTACATCTAAAAGAGAAAAGAAATGAATATGATTAGTTAACTAAACAATACATCTGTACAAACAATAATTTAATAGATCATATCTATCTATTGTATGACATCATCAAAACAAAAAATGAATAACTTAATCGACATATGCTTTCATCCAAATACTAATGGTCTGTTGTACAATATTCACATAAGCAAAAGCAAGAAAAAAAAGCGATTGATTGTGATCGATTTATTTGTGTATGCAGATGTTATAAATTTCGAGTCAAATTATACTAATGGTCGCAAGAAGAAAAAACATAGGATATTGAGCAGATGTATGTGTAGTGTATAGGCTACTTATAATGACAATTCTTCGTTTTCTAAAAGAAAAAAACTGACGAGTCATGTATAGATGGTTGATAGGCTGATGACCTCAGTGTTAAGAGATTGCCCAGGTGAATGTAGAAAAAATTGCAAAGCTATTACGTGTATCATCGTTTCTTACACGACACTGACGAATGATACAATCAGTTCAAAACGAGCCTTTTTTTTTTATTATATGAAAAATCAAATAACAAGTTATCAACGAATGCATTTTAAATATCAGAATGATATAGCAGATTAAAGTATATTATAAAAAAATCCTTGAATTGTCTGCATATATAATTATTTGTCCTTCTATAACAATGGACTCACAAATCATTTATAATCAATGCACAATATATACATATATATATATATTGAAAATGTTTATATTTTTAGTTGACTATTATAACACCATTTTATCAAATGGAGAATTTTATTTAGATTATATTTTTATTGACTACCATTATATGACGGCATAGAACAAGCAATATGAAAGAACTTTTATCTTTAAGGTATATAACCTTGCTATATAGGCTGAATCAATCTACCGTATATTTACATTTATTATCCAGTAATCATTTTCTATTCTATTTCAATGATGATGATAAAAGGTAAAAATATGTGATTAAATGATTGCAGATGATGAATATTCACCTTCTACCTGTTATTTATTTAATCTTGATAATTATGATATATTTATAGCCTTTAAAACACTCATAAATGTGAAGAAAAAAAAATTATTGCAACAGCTTCAATTGGGAGATTTATACAGTCAACAAGCAATTAAAGTTATTGAAAAATTAATCACAAAACAATATACTATATATGGGTATTATAAACGAAAGATGTCGACTTGTCACTGTCGCTAGTTGTTGTGGTCAGTTTAATAGATTTTATAAAAACAAAAAAAAATATGATTCTTAACTGAATAGAAATTTAGTAGCAAATAATACAAAAAGGTAGGTTAAGAGATTTTTTTATCTCAAGGTCTTTATTTCAGAATTCTCATCTACTTACTCTACGTACAATTCATAACTAGGAAGATCGAAAAAAAATAATATCAATTATGATATTTCGTGCTGATCAGTTTTTTATACTTTAACTTAACATAGATATTGTTTTTCTAGATTTTGAAAACTAAAACTAGATAATGTTTTATAAAAGAGGTACAAAAAAAAATGACTTTCGTTCAGTATCTTATACCTTGCACAGATGGGATCGATTCGGTTCGATTCTAAAAACACAAACCAATCCCATGTCTGATAGCTCAAAAAGGATACCATGATTTCATCCCATACTTAAAGGATACGAGGCCTACGCTTAAAAAATATATGAAACTAAATACTTCTCGAGAGATCTTAGTATCAACTTAAATCTCTTTAAAATTGGAATTACTCCCGAACGAAAGGCATATTGATACGAAATGTTTTACGTATCTTTTTATCAGTCTCATCAAGATTTACCATTTATTAATAATATAAAGTCTATTCATTTCACGTTTTTATTTTTTGAATGAAGAAATCCTTTTTTTTTTCTCTTCTTAAAATAACTGATATTATATAACTGAATTTGATCGCAATTGGAAATTAATCTATGTATGACTCTTATCAGATGGCTTAAGTTCGATTTGATGTAATCCTACTTTTCGTGTGTTTCATATTCTATATTAAAACTACTGCTTCATGTAATTTAAAAGTAAAAACTTCTACCTGTTATAGTCAACGTATTGTAGAAAAAACAGCCACTAGTTAAAATGAAGGATTTCAATTTTGTCTTTATAGCGCATTCATTTGTTTTCATTACACGCTATGCATTTGGTTTCAATGACACCTTTTTTTCTTTTACAACTTTATTGTAGTAGACGTAGTCTTCTTCTACTTTTTCAATTTTTTTGTGTAGATTTGAAGGACTTTGCATAGAAAATGAACATGAATGCAAGAAGAAAAGAAAAAAAAAATTAAGTAATGGAGTATTAATTACACTCTCCGTATGAATTGTAACATAGGAAAATTATTAAATTGAAGAAAAAAAAAAAACAGATAAGTAAAAATACATACTTATTTGATTTTGACAAAAGTACAGGATACATAGATGAATTTTTATCGTCCATCGCTTGTTGTATGCATATATATTCAATCGATAATGTCAAGAGTCATCGTTCTACTTCGTGATCTGGAACAATGGAAAAAAAAAAAAAGAAAATGAATCAGAAATAAATGTATGTTGATAGATCTGTCAGTTAGTCAGTCACTACGATGCTATGTATGTGTATATAAGTGAATTCCGGAATTGCTGTATTCATCACGCATCTCTTTCCGTGTATAATAAGTCTCGTTGTTCTGCGTGTGGTATAGCACTGAGTGAAAAAAAAAGAATAGAAGAATGGATACAAATCACTCTCAGCAATGGGTAGCACAACTATTTCTTCTTTTCATATTCAGAACGATGATGATGATGAAGATGATGGACGAAGGTCAGGCGTACACACACATACACAAACACATTCAACTTGCATTGATGAGATGTTTATATTCACCTCGTCAGAATGCAAATATTTTGTCTATACTTATTCTCATAGTACAAAAGAAGAAGCTTGAACTAACTATGTAGTACGGGATAAGAAAGGAAAAGAGTTTGCATTTTCAAATAGTGTATAAACATACAATGACTATAAAAGAGCATATAAAGATCATCGTGTCAAGGTCGTTTCTTTTTTGTCTACAACAAAAGCACCCGTTAGAATTAATTAGGAGAAGATTAGTCTTTCTTGTCACTGTCTACTATGTCAATCCGTCAACAATATAGCCGCCAGTGATGATCAATTCTGTACATATGCAGAAAAGAAAAAGATTCACACCTTCTCGGTAGACAATGGAATATGTAGAGAAAATAGTGAAATTACAAGTAAATAGTATTGTTGATGAGATTTTTCAATAGATGTACATACACTATTGACTACTATGTGCAGGTACAAGGTCAATAAATCAACGTACAGTTAATAGAATATGTAAGCCAACATATGTTTATTTCTATAGAAACATTTAAGTTTCATTTTGCTGATTCTCATAAAATTTTTAACAAATTTATTATTCTTATCAAATAGTAAAATTTACTACTGTAAATAACAAAAATATCTAAAAGACATTAATTTACGAAACAATGTTTTACAGTTCATCTGTAAGGAAAGAACAAGACAAACATATAAATCAGATTTTCATCGTTTTTTTTTACTCTTTCAAGTGAAATATCCTTATCATGCTTATTAACATATCAATCATTTACCCACTAATATCAAGGTGATTAATAGATAGATGCATACAGTAGGAAAAAAAAATGAGAAGTATGAATAAAATTGTTTTAGTATACTCATATACATTCACCCACAGGACAATCATTATTGTAGTGTAAAAGAAATAAAAAAAGATTTGTCTCATCAATAGGTTGATTTTATCACAATTTATATTGCTTGTTAAATGAGCAGATGTGATCGTCATGCGAAAACGTCTTAATTCTCTTGACAACAACTAATCAAGTATAGATGGAGAGAAAAGAACAGACCTTCCAGCTGACCATCGGTCATCATAGCGGCAGCAATTATCGAATTTCAATAGATTATTTCCGTCTTTACTCTCTCTATTTCACTCAAGGTTGTTTTCTACAGGTGAACTTGACAGAAACATAAGAAAGTGAACGGACACAATAGCAGCCAAAGAATGTGTAGTTCCCATTTGTATATAATTATAGAGTAAAAACAAAGAATGAAAGAGAAAGATTAAAAAAAAAAAGAAATTGGTATTAGAATATGAACAAGCACAATAATAAAAAATTTTACTTGCAAATCGTTGCATTTGTTTCTAGAACATATGATAAGATCTTATTCGAATTTAACTTGACCTTAGAGCTGTTCTATATTCAATGTAAAGTGTTCAACATCATATTTAAAGAGTGTCTGACAGTGAATCAGTAAAAAAAAAAAGAAAAAAAGAGAGACTACTATAGTACTATTGACAAGTAGTATGTCAAGCACTTTGTTTTGTTGGCGCTTTCGGTTGGACACTCTTTTTTTCTCTCTCTCTCTCTCTCTCTTCTTTATCGCTCAACACTTATGCACAAACATAAAATATTTTGCCTTAACATTCATTGACCACCGTATCAATTATACGAACACGCCCGTGATTATTACCATTTGAAATGGTGCAACAGAGACGATAATTGCTGGACAAATAAATACACACACACACACTCAAACATTACCAGACAGGATCAGTCGTTAACAAAACAAAAAAATTCAATAAATACATTACACATACATATATATACATATTTATATTTACATATAAATGTATATATATATATATATATATTTCCTAGCAAAGCTGTCAGAACTGCGTAACAAAGAAAAGTTAAATCGATAAATCACATAACGCAATCTAGTCGCTATCATCTTTCGTGTCCCATCAATTTCAAAGGAAGATGACGACACATGATGTTATCGCATGTTTCAACTATCTAAATCAAAATTATACGTTAAAACACTGTATCAACTTGCCCGTAATAAGAATGCGCTAACCGTATCAGAAAAAGAAAATAGGATAACATATGACACTATGGCAAATGTTTTTTTTTCAAAGAATATCCAGGCGGAAAATCGAATTACGCATATACATATTACAACATCATTTGAGAAAGAAAAAAAAGAAGAAGAAAAGAAAGTAGAAATGTCAGGGTCATAGATAATATGTTTTTTTTAGTTAGAAAAATAAAACTGAACAAACTGGAATGCATGTGCACATAAAAAGTATTTAAGTAAGTTGGAAGAAAAAGTTATATTTACCAGCTTTATGAAAAGATCAAGTTGCTTTCAATAATGTTGACATCATTACTTATCAAAGCATCGTCAAACAAAAAAAGAATAAAGATAGAACTCGTTTTTTCTTTTCATTCTTTTTCTTTTATTTATCTCTCCTACCTTCGTTTATAAGTTAGATAGATATAATGATTATATTAAGTACTCACTGACACAATAATAATAATACTAATAATAGCAAGAACAGCAACAGAGAAAATCAAAAGTATTCTCGTCGTCTTACACAAACATGTGCTTACCTTTTGTTGACGTATTTCGCGCATAGCTTGATAACGATGAAGAGTACGAGTAATAGTAGTGGTAGTAATACTAGTAATTCGACCTACCATCAGATGAACGAGAAAAAAAAAGAAGAAGAGAAGGATTTGACTATCGGACAATGACGTCGATTGTGTAGTGTGTGTGTGAGAGAGAGAGAGTTTGCATACACGCATGTATCAAATATAGAAAATAAAATATAACAAAAGATGATGTAAGGTTAAGTAAGACTACTGTGGAAGCACAAACGTACACATTTAATATAGTTTGTTTCCTGAACAGACGCGTACGCGATCTGAACTTGATAGATACGTGTACACATGTTTGGCGAGCAATATGGAAGATAAAAAGTAGCACGTCGCTGCTATCATTGCTAACATCTATTTGCTGGTCAATTGATTAACAATAAGAGTACATAAGGGAGAACATTAAAACTAGCCGGCATCAAATCAGTTGAGTTCAAAGCATCCGCCAAGTAGCTCCTTCGAGGCACTCTGCTCTCTTCCTTTAAGCATTGTTCATTTCCCCATTTACTTGCCTATTATAATAATAGATAGTAGTATAAATTTGTTGTCGCGATTGACCAATTTTGAGAATATATTCAAACAGTACACAATCAAAACATTTCGTTGTGGTCTAATCACCAATACATCGCGCAATTTGAATGAAGGAAGACGAATGAACAATCAATTTCGAACTATCATCTATCGGCAAAAAAAAAGAAAGAACGATAAATTCTTCTTCGTTTTAGTGACCACCATCTCTTTCAATTTAGCCGCGAGACATGTGATGATGTGAATGAATGAACGTGAGAATGTGTATACATATGCACTTTTATGTCTCATTCGTCCTTCTTGATCTTGGCCAAGCTTCGAAAGGGAACAGTAAGAAGAAGACAACGACGGTGACGAAGAAGAAGAGAAAACTATCATCTCAATCCGACAAATTTCAAGTTATTATCAATAGTTAATAGCTTTTAATTTGCTATATTTAAAAAATGAAAGTAAATGTACTTTTCACATATTTTTTTCTTTTTCTTCTGAACAATGACCAAATTTTACTCATATAAAAGTTAATTGACCTTCGTCTCACACATATTCTTATAAACACTTTCATGCACAATATACAAAATAAATGAACAGTTGACCTCGTTAATATGACATCATATTGTGAAATTTGTTTCATTGATCTTATTATACTTCACTTGATGAACTAGTTAGTCTCCGTTAGATGTTTGTGGTTATACGCGCGTATGTTCATTTATTTACTGGACGTGTATGTGTACTACGGTTGTCTAAAGGTTAAAATAGTGTGTCATTACTTCTACTACTCTCATAAAACGTTATTATTGACTCAAAGAAAGAAAAAAAATGAGGTCCCATATGCAATATCTTTAAACAACATTCAATCTAATCCAATCTATAATTGATTTCTATATGCAACAACAGTCGCTGACCTTACTAGAACATCCGTATAAAGATGATTATGTGTCTATGTCTGCTTTGCTATGCACCGTTGAACTTCTTCATCTATCCAATTAACATTTGTCTCTGTCTATTCTATTGTCAATCAATTGCATACGTATAAAAGAAATCGATTCAATATGTATGTTTATATTTATTTAATTCAAAAAAAAAAATATTTTTTAGCAAATTTTAGCGTCGTTTAGTGATTTTTGTGCGTAGTTTGGCCAATTTTCCATTTCATGAGGACGAGCACCTTCATATGTAAGTTCAACAGGCGTACTAAAACTTGCATTTCGATGGAATGGACTATTAAATGTTTTCAATTGTGTTACGCCCTACAAAAAAAGAAATACATAGACTTAATTAATAATTAAAGAAAAATTTTATAAGAATCATTACATGAGTTGTATGTCGATGCTCACTCCAAAATGAAACGGGCATTTCATGTAAAAGGTCATGAGGCTAAAAAAAGAAAGAGGAGACATATTATATTCGTAAATCATTGAACTGAAGTGTTCTAATTGTTATATTGTTCATATTGAGAAGAAAAACAAAATTAAAAATGTTTTTATAGGCAAAATAAACGAAGAATAATATTATTCGAAATGAACTGTTTTTACTCTGTTGTCAAACAATGAACAATATCATAATAGAAAAGTTTCTTATTATTATGAATAAAATATCTTTTCGATTTCTATTTTATTTGAGAATATTTACTTGTGTAGCTGGTGGTGGTTTGGATTCAAATTCTTTATTATATTGTGTACGATATTCACTGTTTGATTCATCAATACGTTCTTGACGTAGACTTTCATCATATTCACGTTTTTGTGCATTTAATTCCGATGTAACTTGACGTGTTAATTCATACTCAAGACGTTTTCGTCGTGCACCTTGTTCTTTTTGTTCAAATGGTCCAAATTTATTATAATTTTGACGATATGTTGTTACATTATCAAGAGGACAGTCAAAATGTTGTGTTAATATAGCAGTGTGAGAAGTTTTTTTTGTTGTTGGTGGTGAAGATGGTTGATTTATATTTTGTTGTTCAATTCGATGATCAAGATGTTCAGTTGCACGTTCTTCAACCCAATTTTCAATTAAGATTTGACCATTAGAATTTGGAATACGACGTGCTCGTTGAATATTCGACATGGTGTGCAACAAATTCTGTGAAAAATGTTTATGTTTTTGTATATGACATTTGTCAGTAACAAATATTCAAGTTAACATGGCAACCATCCTCCGTTCTTTATTCTGTGATGATGTCGTTCATATACAAGAAATCTTTTAGATAATGTTAAATGAAAAAAAAATAGTTTAAGTTGTTTTTCAATAATATCATATTTATCATGTGACATTGTTTTAATTCTATTGAAATGAATAGTGATCTTTAACTGTATTTACATTTTAATGATAGCTGTATGCCAATGCTTTTAATCTCAAGGGACGACTTTTTTTTTTTTCTTTTCTCGAATACAAATTTCATATGTCTCTTGAGATTATTAATATTCGATCATTCAATTTCATGCTGGTTTTATTTATGAATTATTCTTCGTCTGAGTGAATTGGTCATTTTAATTTATTACTTTATTCAAAAAAAAGAAAGAAAGAAAAGAGCACAACATATCATTAAAACATAACGATTGCAATCAGTTATTCTGAACAAAAAGGATAGACTTAAGATGTCATATACAATACATAACATTGATAAAATCAATCGGAGATAAATATCAATTAAGAGAAAAACTCTCTTTCAACATCATATTATTTAATTAAATTATTCGATGACAGTTGTGTCTGTCCAGTTGGTTTTCTAGATATAAATACCATTTTTTGTTTTGTTTTTTTCCTAAGTTTAATTAGTCTAGACAAATGATATTTGATGAGAATGTCTTCTCCATAGAGATTTCTGTAGAAATTTTTGTTGTAATTAGGATTGACATATGAACAACTGTAACAAAACGAAGATGGTATGAATATTTTTATTGTGATTATTAGTTGTATTGACAATGTCAGTATTTTTCATCAATAGGAGAATATCTACATTCTTTTAAACAAATTATAAGAAAATATTTTGAATAAAGATTTCTACACATTAGAAGATCCTTCTTGTCACTTGTGAATGATCAGACAAATAAGTTAGAAGACTTTGAATCTTCTAATGTGTCAAAAGCTTTACATGACTTCAAGTGACCAATATGAGAATTGATGTCTGTTCAAATTCTTCTATTATTGATTATTGAATTGAGTTTTTGTTCTGGTTTATGAAATCTGATTTTCTTTGTCTGCAACACACTGAAATTATCTGCATAGATCTTAACTGTTATAATTGGAGATGGACAGTTGTTTTGGAAAAGAAAAATGAATTCAATTTGAACGAAAGAAAAGCTTAGATATTAGAAGATTAAGTTTTAATACTATTTTCTTTTCGTTTGTTAAACTTTTTAACATTCTTATTCCATATAAATTCATACAGTTTCATAATAGATATCTTTTGTAAATTATTATTTTTGACATTCTTTCATATACAAATTCAGTTTCGACCAGATGTTTTCCATATCTATTTTAATCATGCCGCAGTGTGTTATGTTCAATGAAGTAAGTTTTCTCTATGCGATGTTTTTGTTGTAATAGAACTAGCAGAAGCCATATAAGGATTATTTACTGTTGTTCTAAGAACAATCGTTCTTTTGTATGTACATAGATCGACAATCACGACGAGTCGATTTTTTTCAAAAAAATTCTTACATCTTTTTTTGTTCACTTTCTCTCCAATTTTTATTAATCTCTTAACTGTTATGGACCACTATAATTGTCAGAGCAATCTTTATGAAAAAAATGAAGACTATAAGTCCTTAACTCTATTTTCTTTATATGCTATGAGCCGACTTGAATATACTGCACTGACTGAAGGTCTCCCGTATTTCTGATGTTTCATATTGATTATGTTCCTGTGTATCAAAAGTTATTTTGCAAAAAGTTCACTATTTAATTTCAAAACAATTACGCAAAAAGAGTCCTGATAAGATTGAACACTCAAAATAATTATATCCAGAATATGAGTAGAAAATTTCAAACAAATGTTGTTATGATTTGTAATATATTTTTGATCAGTGAATTGATTAGTATCTAATTGATCTTCTCGGTTGCGACCAGTAATCTTTATTGTTATCAAACTATGTTTTATTTTTTAGAAGAATATTAATGATATATGTGATGTAAACATCTCAATAAAATAAAAAAGTATCCTGAACGAAAAAAAAACCCACTCGGACGTTCGCAGACAATCCGTCACATTTTTAGTATTTTGATGTTGATTTTATTTGTGGGATTACTATTTTCCAATTACATGAAATTACATAAAACTGAATTTTACAAGGAGGAATTATCCGCACTGATATCCGTCGTTTGGGTTTCTATTGCGCCTACAAGAAGGTCTCGGTAAGGTTAACAAAAGTTTCAAAGAGTTCGCCTCGATATACCTTTGCAACAGAGTTGAGATTGTTTTACTGAGTTTTCGATACGCGTTTAGATACATACCGAAAAATTTTAAAAGCAATTACAGATTCATACTCCTCGTGAAAAGCTGAGTCAGAATCCATAGGAATTTAAAAATTTTAATGATTTTTACACGGTCCAGTATGTGCTATACAATGCACTGCAGAGAAAAAGTATTCGAAAAAGTCAATCAGAAAGTTGGAATGAACGAAAATGGTGACATTACCAGTTTGAGGGAGCGGAACTTTTTCTACAAGATGTACTCATTTGTTTTCCTTTCAACTTTGATTTTGGAAGGAACTACTGTCAAAACTATTTTATAATACAATTTTTCAGCTACTTTTGATGAATAAACTAGTAAGATCTGATCACTTAGTCCTATGATTATCTCGAAATTTCACTGGAACTTTCAGAACTTGTAGAGCTTGTTGTGCTGATCATTTTGGTGGCAAATTATTCAATATTTGACTCTGTTTCCACGAACATATAGGTCAAATAATATAAATATATGTTTTGCCATCATGATTATTGTGCATAAAAAATGCATTTTTCTTAAAATGAAAGTAATAACAACATCATAGTATTTGCTTATATTAAAAATCTGATAATATATTCGGATAGAACATGAAAAGTTGCAACAGAATCTGTACGAAATACATGAACTCTCAAATATCTATATAATGTCTATTTGGTCGTATGCGATACATAAGGAAAGGAGGGCAGATGAAAAGAAGATTTAGAATTAATTTAAAAAATTACATGATCTAAAATAAGGACATACATAATCAATTCGATAGAGCAGAATTTGCTCTGCAATATGCACTAATTAGTTTTCTCCTCACCTTTGATTTCGAAGGGAACAATTGTTGAAAACATTTAGATATAAGAGTTTATTATCTATTATAAGTGAATATGTTTAGCTTCTTTGGCTACAGTTTTTGTCGATCATAGCATCATTTCGAAGCCAAGGATGTTTTGATTGGATTAGACATCAATTGATAAGGATAGTGTATTATACAAAATGAAGGTTTTTTTATGTTGCTGAAAAATCACTGATACGTCAACATAAACATATGATTCATAAACATCTGCTCTAAGCTACATTCGTCACATAATTCACCTAATGTTTTTGCTGACTTGTCAAAATCATTCTTAAAAGGAAAGCATCCTAATAGAATATCATGGCACAAAGTTTTCTCTCTTGATATATAGGAAAGATTAAGAGTCTGATTAATATTCAAATGATAATAAATAAACATTAAAAAATCGAAAATTGAAATAAAAATTTCTTTCTCATTGTGACTTTTGTAAAAATATGAATATATACAAAAAATCGATGCAGTGCTTTGCATTGTATTAATAAATGATAAAGAATCTCATCCATAATCTTTTTTATCATGAAATTACAAATAGTTTTTGACTGATGAATATTAGATCATCTTTTGTCGGCAAACAAAAAGACTTTTGTTGTCAAATATCAGCAAAGATGAAAAAATATTTCTTGATTAATATTTTTATTTGCAATATTAGAATTATTTTATATATTGTATAATAAATGAAAAATCACATCCAAAGGCGGAATCTTAATATTTCAAGATAAATATGACTATTAGGAAAATGTTTTTTAACCATATAGCGATAAGGTTTGAGTTTTTCACGATCGATTTTTCCATAAATATTCAAAAAAACAAGTTGTTTTAATTGTTCAGCTAATTGACAAAGATCTTCTTTGAAAACATTTACCCTTTCAGCTAAAGAAAAAGAATTTGTCTTTCCTTAGAAATTAATTAAATATACATACAAATCGACGGAAATGTTTCTAAAGATTTCCTACATCGTCGAGCCGAAATTCCATTGTATTTTCGTTTAAAATCCGGTTCAACTTGCAAAAAGAAAAGAGAACAAACTTCATGATTTACTATTCTAAACAACTTTGTCAACAATAGATATTTTTGTTTTGAATATATTATTACTTCTGACTGAAATTCGAATTTTTCTTAGAAAAATTAATGAAACATCAGTGAAAAAATTCAAAAAAGAAATTTCTAAACCAAAGAGAAGTTTTCTTATATAATAAAGACCATTTTGAAAAAATGAGGAAGTATATAGTTTTGTAGCCCTTTCGTTAACTTTACAGAATTAGTCAAAAGCCTATGTGGTTTTTCCTTTGTCAATATATTGACAAAACAATGACCAGAAGTAACTTATATAACTAAATGATCTTCATGTTCATTCGGAAAGTATTTACATTATTATTCACTAATATTTTAACCGTTCAAGCTAGAATTTTTGCTCAAGATAAATTATTGGATACCTAATCCATTAATATACTTAACAGTTCGAAGTATCTTAGAATGAAAAAAATTATCCTGATATTCGAGTCCTGCGGAGTCAAATTTTTTTACTCCGAAAAAAGAATTTTTCGGCTTCGATTCTGAATAAGTCCGAAATTTTATTTTCGTAGTTTAGCAACATCTAAATAGATCTTAGAGCCTTAAATTATAAGAAGCTGAATAAATAAACGAATCAATGTGGATACAATTCATTTTTTGTCTGGTAAATTTTCAGGAAAAACAGAAGAAAATGTAATGGGAAAACGGCGGACTTCAAGTACGGTAAAGTAACGTCTAAAGTAGTCTAAAGTAGGATAAAGTACTTTAAAGTAGCTCGAAGTGCTGTTAAGTAGCGCAAATTAATTTCAAGTACAAAGTACGCCGTTTCCCCCTTGAAAAAAAATGACTGAAGATTTTTTAGGATAAAAAAAAACTTGAGAAATCGATCAAAGATCATGATTAATCAGTAAAATTCGTGGCTCTGACCTTGACTCCGGTTCCAACTCCGCCGGTGTCTGACCCGAGTTTCGGAGTCCGGTGCAGGGTTCTACCTGGTGCACTGTTCGATGTATAAATCCATCCATTTATCGTACAAAAGTAAATATTAATATTGTGACCAAAAATTGATCTATACCCTTGAAAAATAGTTTTTTTTATCATCGTAAACGTTTCTTTATGAAATTCTGCACTAGATAAGTAATCAATCAATGGATGTGCAAGATGGTTGAACGATATTTCTTATGTGTCTTCGATTTTTGTTCTAATTAGTATTTTTACTTAAAATTCACTTACTATATGTCCATGATAAATCATCTGGTTTCCAAATACACAATGTTTGTAAATAAGGCATGTAATTGCTAAGAAAAGGTACAAGAGATTTGCCAACATGAAATGATTCAAGCGATCCAATATAACAACTAGGAAGACAAAATTCGACGTATCTTACAGTACTTAACGCGTTCTTTCGAAGGTTATTAAATGCCTAAAAATTAAACAAAAAACAAATTGAAAAATTATTCTCAAAAATGGAAACCGACTCGTGAAATAAAACATATTTCTATTCATTCAAAATACTTAAAATAGTTTTCATACCTATCGAGTGCCGAATAAAAGATATCCCGAATTAGAACAAAAAAAAAAATAAGAATTTACCAAAAACAAAAATATGAAAAAACCTTCGAACCAGAACTAAGAAGAGTAGCCTTAAATTTTTTTGATGATTTTCTTTGGAAATTGTCTTGAAAATTATATCAATCGAAATGGAACGTAGTTTGGATAACTGAAAACAGTGACATTCGTCGATAGAATTAATCATAGTAATACATTATTTAGTAATGTTTTTCATTTTAACGCGAAGAAATTTACCGGTGTTCGTAATGGTACGAGCAGAGTTGGGTAAGTACGAACTTTCCCCAGTATGAGTACGAGTACTTTGCCTAGCTCTGGGTAGGTGTGAGTGTTGGAGACGTACTAGTAGAATTATTGAATTCATCCTTAATCCACATCTTCCCCACGTTCTTACTCTCAACTCATCTTTTCCTTCTTTCTAAAGAAGTTCCTTTTGAAAAACAAATAAAATCGAAAATGAAACATTCCAATAAGAAGAAAATATGTTCTTACACATTCAACAATATGTAAAAGCCATTGAAATTGCTCGATTCGAAGATAATTAAGTTGAACTGGCATTGAAATAAGATAAGCAAGTATTATTGCACGTTGTTTACTTTGATTCGTAAGTTCTTCATAACGTCCTATAAATACATTTTAATTCTGTATTGATTATGCGGATAAACATGTTGATCTGGTGAAAGATAATTCTCTTTTAGTTGATAATTTGCAAGGTGCAGGAAAATATTTCTCCCCAGTAACACTAATTTTAAATAGGATGCATAACTATTTTTATACCGAATTAAAGCACGTCAAAAACTGAATTTTTCAGTATTCAATAGTCAAGAGAATAAAAACTTTTCAATGACAAACTTAAGAAATTTCCAGAAATTCTTCGCTGTATTAGCGATTTTAAGAGACAATTCAAACCAGATCAGTTTCAAAATAATGACTATCACAAAGAAATTTTTATTTTTTAAAATTTAATAAATATAATAAAAATTCAGTGTGACCAATATTATCATTCTTCACAGAAATCGGGATGTACGTCTTCACCTAACAGAATTTGAAATAAATGATAATCAATTCTATCACGATTATTTAAACAATGATATTCATACATAAAATTCCAATACTAAAACATTACAAACCTTATATGTTTTTCAATACAAAAAAAAATCTTAGATTTTCAGAAAATTTCTGTAAGATTTTTCACCAGAGAAGAGTATGAAAAAAATATTAGAAGAAATAAAAGGTATTCTGGTCAAACAAAATATGTATTAAGGATAATAAATAATCATAAGTAATTGTAGAATCCAATAATTGAAACGGATAAGATTTCTAACAGTTAAGACAGGAGAAAAAATTTTCCATCTTCTTATTGATATTAGAAAAAAGAAAAACAAGATTTACCAGAATTGCGATGAAAGCATGATCCAAAAGTAAGTCTTGTCACATGTTGCAAGTAAATATTGTTCAATTGGCTTTGTTCTATTGCAAATGATGTTTTTAGTACTTTCGAATAGTCTGTTTTGTCAAATATTCTGTAATCAACTAAATATAAATATAATTAATAATAATATTTTCAATTTTCTTCAAATGATACCGTGATAGTCAATGTATCTCCAGAAAAATATTTCTTTGTTTTTTATATAAATTTTTCGTTAATATAAACTTTTTATGATTGTCATCACTTCTCTATTGCAAATGCTGCATGAGTTTCGGGTATGTTACTGCACCAATATAGTACCCTGATATCAATATGTCACAGCGCACTTAGGTATCTTAACGTATTTCTGAGCAATTTACGCATGATAAAACGCTTCGTTATTAAGATACTACTGAGTATTTTATTGACTAAACTGTCGAAATATGTTTTCTTATAGAATTTTCAAATTAATACAAAAACCATTTAAATACTCGTGTATTGACATAATTGTTAGCAGTTGCACTCGCAAGCTGTTGTGACTACGGGTGTCAGGGTTCACGTTCCGCGGAGTTCAGTTCGCTAAGGAACGTGAACCGGCCTGAAAAATCGTTTTTGTCCATTTTTGGACATGCCGATGCTTGGATATATCTTACCTTCCATTTCATAACAAGCCACTATGGTTCCAGGATTCCTAGAAACAGGAACCCGCTGCGGGTTCCTAAGAATGCGGAACCCTATTTCAAATCGTAAATAAGAGAAATTTAGACAGCGTTCCTGGTCTTTAAGAACTCGAACCAGTTTTCCATTTCTAGGAATTCGGAACACAGGATGGATTTCTGTACCCAGACATCCGCCAACCCATAGTGGCTTGCCTCAAAATGAAAGAAAAAACGTCTAAACATCCAAGCGTGTTCAATAAGGTGCAGCAATGAATTGTCAAGTGGGTTCCCGTTCCTAGGAATGGACCTCGAAACTGACACACCTACCATCCATTTCAATGAAAAATCGACTCGGTACGCCGTATGGAGCTGCATACCATCTGAGTATTAAAATTTCAAAAAAATTTAATTTAGTGAAATAATTCTCTTCAAAACGGCAAATAAACATCACCACTCAACTCACCGTGGTCGATTACCTATGTTTCGAGGTTGTTTGAACTAATCGATGGTCAGCTGATCGAAATTGGCACTCTGAGGAAAATGCTCCTCGATCCTAAACAGGATAAGTTACAGAGCTAGGTCTTGTGCAGATCGATAGAAAATTTTTTTTTCCCTAGGCGGTCCCAAATATACCAAACGAAAACTCACCTGATTGATTAATTGTCCATCAATCAAATTTTCGAAAATTTATACAAAAAGATTCATAATCTTTCTAATAACGAAAACCGCAGATCTCTAGCTGCTTCCTATCCGGAGCTATTCAAGTTACAATCGACTGCATTGATTATAAAAAATGGACAGTAGCTGTGACATACTGATAGCAGGATACGTGCATCGATACTCTTCTGAAAAACATTCAACACACGAATACCTACACCTTAATACTGTTATTCAGATTAATTTAAAATTACTTCTAAATTCAAAAAAATTAAAAAGTTTGTCTAAATCTTTCTTCTCTAAAGTAGTAAATCTCTATTTAAAACTAACTTTTATCAATTACAGAAAAGCTTTAAAGATCTGACACATTAACTGAACTTATCAAAATTTGTCTTCTTATCTGTTTTGGAAAAAGAGATACCCCGGGTTCGTTCTTCCTTAATTGTTTTCCGATTCGTTAATTTTGACTTTAAAGTTAAACTACAATTTTCACTTTAACTTTAAAATTGATGGTGAGGGTGTGAGGGTGTGAGTGAGTATGAGATTGATATCACACACACACCCACTCACTCCATCCATTCAAGGCAGACACGTATGAACACATTCCACTGTTACATAAGGTGGGGACGAATCACAAGTCAAAAATTGTTAACAGTTTTTGAGGGGGAATGAATATCGAAAAAATTTTTCACGAGTATTATACGATGGGGACGAATACGGCTTCATTTTTCGGGGTCCCAGTTAAGACAATGAAAAAGAGAACGAATCATGGGTGATCCGAAAAAAGTATAAGTTTATTCAAATTATTGAAAGAAGAAAAAACTTACTTAGATCAAATTCGATAGAAGAAACATTAGGCAAGAATCGATCGAGTTGTTCAAGAAATCGAACAAGATTTGGAAACAAATCTATCCTAAGAGATCTCATAACTGGCCAAAGAAATATATCTGGATAACTTCTAGAAAAAAAACATAATTATATTTGTATTATGCCAAAACTAAATATTTTACATTAAATTATTGAAAAATTGAGATTTATTAAAAATAAAAGAAGAAAGATGTTGATACGACATTATTGGATCAAATAAACATTTCACATTTGGCCATTGATGTTCAATGAAAAAGGGTTCAAATTTAAATGAATCGATTATTTTTTCGATATTATTTGATAAAAATTTGCAATGAGAAATAATATAAAAATCAAAATAAGTTAAATTGATTGTTATATCACCCATCAAATGCCTACGAACAAAACTTGCATCAACAGGAGATCCATCAATCACTTCATTTCCTCCGTTATATTCAGCGATCTTAAGACGAAGTTTAACTTTTTCAACATGATTTAGATTATTAAAAATCCATTTCAAATAGTACAATTGAAAGTCTGTATGAACAACGCTTTTCACAATCAAATATTTTAATTTTTCTACCTACAATTGATAAAAAAATAAATAATTTAAACATTTAACTTTCATTGATTATTTAAAAAGATTTTAAAATTTCATGATCGTTTTTCTAGACAAATGAAATAGAGATTAATAGAAATATCATTTTCAATCTCTTTTCATTATTCACAAACCCATAAAATAGTTAATCAAAAATTGTTTACGACTTCAAAAATAAAGAAATTTATTAAATATTAAATAATCATTTTCTTTTCTATTGGATAAAACCAAATTAATTAATCAAACTACATATCCATTTGAAAGGAAAGGAAATTAGACTTATCATTTATCTTATTCGAAAATTCTAACATTAAAATTGCATTTTTCATGTATCATTATTAAAAATATTATATACTACTAATAGAGACGTCAACATATAATAAATATTGGTTTATTCGCGAACTATTTAGTTTTTTCCGATTTATGCGAATAAATCTGCATTTAACCATTTAACTTTTTTTTTCAAATTATATAATCAGACTACCAGAGCAAAGTAGTTCGTATCGCAATCAGAATACTTGGTTCTACATATTTTTCTTGCTAAATATTTCCTAATTCTTTTCTTCAAAACGAAAATAGTATTGTCACTCAGATCAGAACTTTCTTTCAACCTTTACTAAAAAAATAAATAATTACTCAAACTTTGAGAATGACGCTAACTCAAGGAATGAATTCGAAGTGATCTATTCAATCTCGAGCTGACAAACGCTAACTAGAAAAGATATCGTTAATTTAACTGAATATTCTTTAGTACAAGATTCAAATAGATTTCGTCAAATCTATCAGCATTATGTATATCATCAGAAATATGCAGCCTCAAAATATATAGGATGTCCCAAAATTATAGGACAATGTTGATGTTGTCAAAAAATATCTCTAATTTCGAAAAGTAGACGTCAGTTATCTCTTCAAAATGAATATGTTTTTTCTACGAGATTGGTACGGTGTCCTATAATTTTGAGATATCCTGCATATAACAACAAAATGAAAAAAAAAAGATCTTTTCTCCGATTCGAATCACGAACTTTCTACTGTCCAGAAAAATGTCTTCAGCCAGTTAGACTCAACGAACATCTTTCTCTCAGTTTATGGTTGAAGTGTTCATCACAGACTCTGTCAAAATCTTACTGAATATCGGACTAAATTTACAAAAATCTTTCAGTTACTTAATCTCTATCTCGTACTTCGTTCCGAAAATATAAGAATAATATATCTATATGATTTTGTGTTCATTGATACAATCCAAGCCTTCCCACATCACTTAACAAATATCAACTTAATATACATTTGAGAATAACGTATTCAACTAATCTGAAGAATCCCTGTTTTTCACAAAATGAGAATGTTCATATACATGAACACATATGGTTTATCATCACAATAATTGCAAAGTGCAACGATCTAATTACATAATAAAATACGAACTTACAAATATTTTATCATTTCTCACAACTCCTACTGGAAAATGTTATAATCAAGAAATCTTAATTGAAAACTTTTTTTTATCAAAAAAGAAACATTTGAATATTTATTAATATGAAAATAATCTTTTTCACTATTGATTTCTCATAGAAAAAATTTCGAAATAAAGAAAATAACAATATGGTAGAGTTATCTTACTTTATTACACCACGATGAATTCAATTCGAAAACTTTTTCACAGTTTAATTTATATGATTTATATCTGGTCCATGACGAGCGCATATAAACTGATAATCGTTCAAGATTGGGTACAAATTCAATAAGATGTTCAAGAAAACATGTGTAAATAACACGAATGTGTAGATAACGAAGAGTCATACATCCATATTGAGTTTCATTAGAGATTGAACTTGAACATAATGATAAACATTGATGAATATCAATAAATACATGGTCCGCGTCCATATTAAGCTCAAGAGAAATTAATTGACATTTTCGAGAGAAAAGTTGACATAAAAATTTTTTAAACATCAACATTCGTTTTCTTCCTAGAACACAGAAAGATAAATCATGTATTTAATAATATCATTCTAATACGAAAATATCAAAATTTGAACTGATTATTCTTAATATTCAACTTAATCATGGATAAAATTCTAGGCTAAAAGATTTTTTTTGTTATCAGTTAAAGAAACAATACGTAGAAATACGAGAAAATTTCTTGAATAACATACAATTGATCGACGGAACCAAAATAATAAAAAATTAGTCAAAAACGAACAGTGACATTTTCACTAACAGTAATCAATCAAAATTTCCAATAACATAAATCAATGACAAATTTACAAAGAACCTTGAAAATTAAATGAAGAGAATCTTCTAAATATTTTCTGCTTTGATGATTATACAAAAACGTTCAATTTGAAGATTTCTTCGATTTTTGTTATTAATTTCCTCTTGGTTAACAAAGAAGTTTTTCTTCTTAAAAGGTCTTTTGCTTGCACGGCTGCCAGGTGAACCTCATTTCGTCACTTTGCACCACATTTACATTTTTTAGCTTTTATTACTATAAACAAGTCTTTGAATTAAAATCAACTATATTTTGGATACACCTTCCATCATCTTTCTAAAGATATTTGCATAGGACAATATTGGTAAATAGTTGATAAAGGCAAATTAGCAAACATTTTATTCATTTAGTTTTCTCTTAACCTTTTCTGTTTCGCACGATTGATTTCAATCCCAAAATCCAAATAAATTTTGACGACTCTTCAACTTTTTGTCTTTGCTTTATTATGTTTTTATCAAATCTAACTAATGCATAGTATTTAAAAAACTAACTTAGATTTAATTTTCTAGAGAATGAAAAATAGTATCAATGTTCATTCGGATTTCGGCAAAAAAAAGTGAGATCCAGATTTATAAAGAGGCAGAATTAGAAATGACAGCAATTCCTGAGACATGCTGCAAATCTATTTAAAAAAACTGCACGCGTCGCAGAAAATGGAACGATAAGAGGGATAGCGGAGGCGTGACAATCCCTATTTTGAGAAAATACACTCTTTCTCAGCAAGTCCTTTTTCTTATCGATTAACAGATTGTAGAATGAAAATGAATTCAGTATCTTATACTTTTAAAAACTAACAAATGCACTCTTCAATTTCTGACAAAATCACTTTCGCACACAGCCCCACGATTTTTTTCTTGGATATATTCTTTCAAGTGCTTCTGATATGTACCGTTTCGTCGAAAATGTAATGATAACGAGGGAAATTTCTCAGCTGTTCCCTTCCAATTTCTATAATTTTTTGCCTGTAGATACTGGATAGTGTGCTAGTGAAAATCCTAAAAGGATTTCGATTCCTATTGAGATTTTCCAAAGCTATTACATTTTTAATGTCTCATTATGTAGGACCCGAGGTGTCAGGAAAATTTGCCTCTTTGAATTTTGATTTGAAACTTTATGCATTTAGAGATCTCAAGTAGACTAGCTCCCATAAATAAAATTCAGAAGTTTTGAATAAAGTTACTTCCAGATACAAGGCTTTCAAAAACTGTATATTCTATTTATGAAAAAGACCTTATATCGCGAAAATTTAACATCTTCGAGAGACTTTGTTCAAAATTTCTGAATTCTTTTTATGGAAGCTAGACTACTTGAGATCCCTATATGCGTAAAATTTCAGATCAAAATTCGAAAATACAAATTTTCCTAAGACCTAGGGTCCTAAATAATTAGACATATTAAAAATCCAATAGCTTAGCTAAATCTCAATAGGAATCGAAACCTTTTAAGAACTTTTACTAGCACACTATTCAGTATCTATAGGGAAAAAATCATTCGAATTGAAGAATAACCGAAGAGATTCTCTCGTAAACTATCTTTCACGTTGTTCTTGTTCGAAAGCAGATCTATCGACTCCTAACGGATAAACTATATAATTAGCCGACACTCCAAGCAAGCTATTTGTTAATACATCGTCAAAACTGAAACTAAAGAAAAATGTACTGCTTTCTACAGTGGAATCGTTTTTAAAGCAATGCTGCTTTTTCAAAAGACTCCTTTTTCACTGTTTTTCACCTATCACAAATCTGTTTCAGAAGAGAATTAGTTATCCAAATAGCATATCTCATTTTAAAAAAATTTGTGCCGCAACTATACCCCATTTAAAAATTAGAAGTTGGCAGCCCTGAATGAAACTCCAAAATCATGTTTCACTCGAAGAATACACGATATACAAACTAAGTTAAACTGTTCTCCCATACTAAATCTATTTTTCGAAGACATCCAAATGATCGGAATTTTCGAAAGTTCCAACATCATACTCAATGAAATTGCTTTTAGCATGACTCCCTCCTACAGAACAACAGCCGATGAAAGTTTCTGTTCCTCAAGCTAGACCGTTCAAACTTCAAAGTATCCTTAGACTCAGATCAGTTGTTTCTATATCAAGCATGCGCTCTGGGCCCATTGCTCATTACACATTGACACCCTCATGCACTCACTGAAATTTATCGGTACAATCTCTAATCTGACTAATAATTGCAATTATTAAGTTCACTTCAGATCTGAATGAAAAAAAGTTGGTAATCTTGAGTCCTCCTGTTAGAAAATTATTTTTCTCCAAAGATATATACTTTTAAAAGACAAATTCTACCTTATTTATGCATACATTTCAGATGTTCATTTTTCTTCTTTTTTCTACAAATCAATCTTCTATTTCATCTTTTACTATATATAGAATTGCCATGAGACATATACGGCTGAACAAAATCGATACTCTTTGCGAGAGATAGATAATTGAACGGAGGTAGAACATCGGATGTTATGAAACGACGGATTTCTAAAACACCACCGAAATATAAAAATTGTTTCGTGCTAAGTACAAAGAAAATTTTTCAAGATTCGACTGAAATAGAAGTCGCTCGAAGTACTCCTGGTATGGTACCCATTATTTCTGTGAAGGGTAGGTGAGTGCTATGAGTAGAAGTGTGACAGCTCTTGATCGCAAAACTTGTCAAAGAAACTGAGAACTGTCACACGTCTAGTTATGAGTATTCTTTTGTTTATTAGAAAGACACTGTCCGTACTCCGTATGAATGAAATGATATAGTCAGTGATCTTCGACTCAGAAAAACTTTGATATAGACTTCCATTTTCTGTTTTCCCCAGAACAATCTCGAAGACATTTACGAAAAAAGAATCAACATAATTGAGTATTCAATAATGATATATTATTTCCAGATGTATTAGAAGAGTAAGAAATTACCTTTACTAGGAGCATTGAAAGGCATTGGTTCATATCTTAATGATTGAAGGGCATCTTCATCTACAGTTAATACTAGTTTCTCCAACTGATATTGAATGAGTAAAGATAAGTATTCAATTAATAATTTTGACAAACAAAATCTATTAAGAATAAGTGATTTAAGATTAGGATAATGAATTATATTTCGATTTTTATAAGAACATTGATAAATAAGACTATAACAATTTGAATTTGTTCCATCCAAATGAATATGTCGAACAGATGACCTTAGAGATGATGACTTGTATATTAATGGAAATAATTTTGATAAAACTTTTCTATAAGATAAACCTGGTTTAGAAATAATGATACCATTTTCGTTTAGTGAAATTATTGAACATATTAGAAAATTAAATCGTTTATTTAACGACCAAAAATATGTCAACAGTTCATCCCATGAGAAATAAGATAATATAGAAATTAGAATTTCATTCGGTAAGATTTCTAATTTATCAACCATTTTATCTGAAAAATAAACGAAATTATATCAAGATAAAAAAAATCCATATTTTCTTGTTACATTTGTATAAGATTATCTTTATTTTCTCTCAATGAAAAAATTTCTTTTCTCTTCTGTATCTTTTAAAGGAAACGAATATTGAAAATTAAAATTCTGCAAGTGACTAATATAACGAAATTTTTGGGAATAAAAATAATCAATAAATCATTAAAATTTTGATTCTATTCGATTTAAATCCATAGAAAAATTCTCAAATACTTACTCGTTTCTTCAATTTAATATTTTACTAGCTAGATCCCGTGCAAATTGCATGACTGCGTTTTTAGACTATCTTTAACGGCCATGAACTTGAATGTGTTTTCTTCTATATCTATAGCATGTTATTCTCCTCGGATGCCTATGCTTGGAGCATGTAGAGTGAATGGGTGAGGGTGTGAATTAAGAGAAGAGCTACTGTCCACCCAAGGTTTGGATGTGCCTAGTACACATAGACCTTTAACCCCAGATGATTTTGAATATGGTGGTTGATCTTCGACCCGGTAACAGACACCCTCACTTGTGTCTACAGATTTTCTTAGTTTTGAATTTTAATGAAAAAAAAAACTATTGAAATTCTCATTTCGAGTAAATTGAAAATATATTTAAAATAAATTGAACTATTTATTGTCAGTAGAAATAAGAATACAAGCTTTTCTACGACTATATTACGATATCAACTGTCTTCATCTGGTATCAAACAATAGATTCATAATATATTAGTAAAGAAGGATACCGAAAAGTGGATACTCTTCCAAGTCTGTTAAGTTGCTCTCGGATACAAAGTTTGTCTCTGAAAAGTTGCTATTTACCGACATCATAGAATATTTATTTGAACACTTATAAAAAAAAGACAACAAAATTACCGTTGAATTATTTTAATCGAAATATAAAAGCAATAATAGTTTAACCTTAAGTTTAGAAAAACAAAATAAACTAGAGTCTCGAGTTATTTTGTGAAAGATTTAATATTTAAAAAAACATTGTTAAAAAAATGAACTTTCTTTCTGTTCTTTCTTCTAATATTAAAATTGAACAACAGATATTGAGTCGCTTATAAGATATTTAATGTTTACATGATGGCATCTTTTATCATCTAGTCTGCCATGCACAAGAAAATTTATATTTTTCTTTAAACAAAATATTTAAAACGGTTTCATATAATTGTTGCTTTCTTACTATTACATGTTGACGTTGATGAAGAACTTGAATTTTGTCTTAACTTTTGAATATGGAATTGGTATTTATCGTTATCATTGATATCAATTGTAACATGAGTATCTGATACAATTTTGATTTCTATTAAATATTTAAGTAATTGATTTTTTATGTATTTTTCAAAATAATCCTTTAATGGGCCAACATCATAAACTATTTGAAAAAAATAAATAGATTTCTTTTTAAAGTAGTAGAGTTTTTATATGAAATATGTTAAAATTTCAAAATATTTTTCTTTTAACTAACAATTTTTGGTAAATAAGAATATGTTCTGAGTAAATATATTCTTTTTATATGACATTACTTCTTCGAATCTTTTTGTACTAAAGATAACCAAGATAATCAGTGAGATTTTATCATCAGACATTCATAAATGATTGAATCAATCATAATTTCTATGAGATTTCTAATCTATTTGTATATGATAATTTTCGGGATTGTCACCGAAGAAATGCTATGATATCATTGATAAGAGTAATTTACTCGACAGCAGTTGGGTATAAAAGTCGTTCAATCAGACAGTATGTGTAACTGTACTATTTATTATTCTCATTATAAAGTGTCATTGAAAGTTAAAATGGGGATAATAATCGAAATAACTATCCAAGTTATAGGATAACTGTACATAGATATAGATATCTCAGTATAGAATGCTGGAAACGATAGATCATCGACTAGCTCTAGTGCCGCAATAAGTGACAGTGTTGATATTGATACTGATAATATAAGTTTTTGTTCTTATAAAAGATAAATATTTAAAGGTTCAGCTATTTAGGACCAAGTTTTTAAATTCAAACTATGTTTTCATGTAGATCTTGGTATGAAAAATCCCAAAGGTGGTCGTTAGAATTCAGATCTTTTTACACATAAATAGACGTTGTCTTTTGATTTCATATTAGTTGTCAATTAGTTTTGTTAACTAAAAGACTCGTTATTTTTTGACGAATAAAAATAATAAATATCTGGATTATATAACTTGTTAAGAGTTGCTTGAATAGTCCTTTGTGTTAAAGTAATGTTAATATTTTATTCATGAAATAATCTTAATTGAAGATGAATGATAGAAATAACTTGATCATTATTAAGAACTTCAAAGAAGACAATATCATCCAAACGATTTATAAATTCTGACTGGAAACGTAAACGAACCTTTAAGATAAAAAACAAATCTTATTATTTAATCTTTAAAAAGATACAAACTTCTTTCATGATTTTATCTTTTATCGTTTAAGATGAATTTCCATGAGAACTATATCCCGAAGAAGTTGAATTTCGACTGTGTTCTAATATAAAATGTGTCCCAATATTTGTTGTTAGAATAATAATTGTATTTGTAAAATCAATTATTTGACCTTTTTTTATTCTAAAATGAATTAAAAAATAATTCAGTTGATATAAAAACCAAATTTACTATAAGGCAATTATCTTTTAAAACATTTGATAAAATATTCATGATTTCTAAATGTGCTTTCTCAATTCCATCAAACAAAAAATAGTAGCATAAGGTAGTTGTTGAACAGTTTTTGTTAATTGATTATCTTGTTGAGAATAAGCATAATCTGATAAATAAATGACTAAAATAAACAAAAGAAAAATTAAAAAAATAATTTTTACCCGATAATGTACAAATAAATTGATCGATTGTATTAGATTCAGTATAGTCACTCATATCTAAATAAATCATTGATTTTATTGAGTGAAATAAATATAATGTTAATGCTTTTGTTAATTCACTTTTCCCAACACCGATTGGACCTATACAAAATAAATAGAAATTTGATTTTTTTCTTAATTTAATTAACCTAAAAATAAAAAGTATCCAATTAATTGATTTTGTCTTAAAAGTTCAGTTCGATTTTTTAAAACATTAACAACATTCTCAATAGCATCATCTTGTCCAACAATTTTTGTATGCAAATATTCATTTAATTTCAATACACAATCTTTTTCTATTGTAATTAAATTTGATATTGAAATCTCAGTTAATCGACTAACTAAAATCGAATAAAATGATATATGTAATAAAAAAAGTGTACAAAAGATCCAAACCTATTTCCATAATAGAATTTGGTCGAAGAACTCCAATTAATAATAATCGTTCTTTTCGTTCTTCATTTTCTTCTATAATTTTTTGATTTAATTCATCCATTTTTTTTTTCAATATCTAGAACGATTTCATTTTTTATACCAACAAGTAAACCGAAATTTGTTCCTTGTGCAGCTTGTGTTATTTCAAATTGATGTTTTTCTAATTGAGATCTTAATTTATTTAATTCAAGTTCATAAAAATATTCTTTTTCAGTTTTATTTCTTAATTTTATGGGTTCATTAACTTGTTTTGATGTTTCATCTATTTCTTGTGATAATGCTGTTGGTGTAACGTCTAATTCTAATAACATTTGACGTTCTAATTGATTAATTGCATGAAGTTCATTATCTCGTACATTTTGACATGCTTCATTAATTAAATCTTTAAAAATAAAAATTTGATTTTTGAAATTACTAAAAAATCTTTACGAATTGCTTTAGCCGGCAAAAATCCATTTCTTATATAATGATTAGATAGTTGTGCAGCCATAAATAAGGATGAATCTAGAACTCGGACTTAACAAAAATAAATTTAAGAAATGTTGAGAAAAAATGTTTACTATACCATTAAAATTTAATTCAAAACGATTTATAAGACCATATAAAATTGAAATACAATCAGTCATTGATGGTTCTTCAATAAAAACTTCTTCACAATGACTTTTAAACACTGGATCCTTTTTTATATGTTCTTCGTATTTATCAAAAGTTATTGCAACAATACAATGAAGTTTAGCTTCAGCTTTAAAAAAACAAATATTTTTGAAAAATCAATTTCAAGAATAAAAATTCAATACCCAACATTAATTTTAATACATTTTCTGCATCAATTATACCTACAAAAACAATTGAATTAAATCATTTATTAAATATTTATAATCAATTCATACCTGTTGTTTTTTTATTATCAAAAATCAAATGTAAATTATCAATAAATAAAATAAGATCATCTGAATTTTTAATTTCTTCTAAAATTAGTTTAAAATGTTTTTCAAATTGTTTTTCATCATTTGTATTATCTAAAACATTTAGATGTGATATCCAAAATAGTAAGTTTATGAATTTTGTCTTTATAAATAACTCTTCTCTCCGGCGAGGGAACATATCTAGGTGTCAAATTGCTTTTGGATCGAGTATATACTCAAACGATAGACCATAATAAGTTGTTAAATACCCTACAAGGATTTGGTTTTCCAGGCCTCCTGAACCGAGATATACGATTATTACTATTACTACTATCCATTTCAAAATAGAAGATGAGTGATTGTGAGATGAATAATTCGTGAACACGATAAGATATTGCAAAACGGTTTTCGTGAAGTTGAAGCCAAGACTGGGGAACGTCGGGCTATAGAAGAAGAAAATTCTTTGACCGAGCTTCTAGAGGGTTTTCAGCCGCATCTTTAGAAAACTTTAATGATTTTCATGGATTCAATGTTGGATTTTCATTTTTAACACGTGTATTCCATGGAGAAAACTATTATCTCTCGAACTACGCCAAGCCGGCGTGTCTATCTTGTTTCATTTAGGAGTTATAAGGGTTTTCCAGAGATCCCAGATTTCAGCCAATTACCGCTGGATCAACCCAAAATAGACCTACAGACAAGCTATCAACCACGCTGAGTAGAATGGTGATATTTTTTTCTAGTTTCAAAGCTATCTGAAGGCACAAGCCCAAAGTTTTTGATATTCAACTAGTTTCGCTATATAGCAGAAAGTGATGATGTTTTTGAAAACTCTGAGTTTGTGACTCCAGATGGCTTTGAAACTAGAAAAGAATATCACCATTCGACTCAGGATGGTCGATTACCACTCTCTAGACCTATTCTGAGCTGATCTAGCGGTAATTGGCTGAAATCTGTGGTCCCTGGAAAACTCTTGTAACTCCTAAATGAGACAAATAGAAAGACCGGCTTAGCGTAGTTCGAGAGATAATAGTTTTTTCCATGGAATACACGTGTTAAAAATGAAAATTCAACAATGGATCCATGTAGATCATTAAGGTTTTCTAAAGATGCGACTGAAAAATTCATCGTTTATAGCAATCGAAAAAAGAAATTCTACTTATTGGGTCTTCTACGAAACGATCTTATTTGAAATAGAACACAGCTTTTCTGTAAAATATTCAGACATAAATTTTTTTTTCGCGTTGTATAGATCAGATTTTCAAAAATTAATTTTTTTAATAAAATTGTTTGCTCTTTAGTTTTTTAGTACTAGACCAAATATTTTGATGCCATACGGGAGTCTTCGTTATAGTAAATGACTGTATATGTATATATATATGCTGCTCGAAACCATCGAAACTGGTTAATGAAAATTCTCAAGCAGTTATATTTAGATTAAAAAAGTGTGATAAAAGTTGCGGAAGAGTTTTTCGGCGCCTTTTCTTCTAAAATTTTTTTGGCCTTTGAAAAATATTTCCAATCAAATTCTTTTATATATTTTTGCACTGGACACCTTGCTCTTTCTAACAAAAAAAGATCAAGTCTCTACGGCATTCTATCGCAGGATGTATCAAAAACAAATTTAATGCAGATCTTTTTCATCACCCGTTAGCTCTGCACTCTGCTCTATTAAACTATAGGAATCACTATTTGATTGTCAATAAATGAAGAATTTTTCACAAAGAACAATATCAAAATAACAGATTTTCTAAAAGTTCGTTGACTATTTGATTCTTCTCAGGTGAGTTTAACTTCGTATCAATTATAAAAAACTACTTTTCTTCGATTTTGTTTCAATTATATCTTTATAAGTTAATTTATCTATTCAACATTTATTCCATTTGATAACGTCTTAACTAAGTATGGCAAGCATGAGAGATAATATCTCACTCATAGACGGCGAGACGTTTTGAATCTATGAAAGACCCAACGTTTTTAAATAAGATTTGTAACGGGAATTAAAAAAAAGAGGAAGCGAGTTTTTTCATACCGTTCGGATGAAATATAGTTAATGCTTCTCATTTCGGAGTGTATTACAATGGGGTTGAACAGCAGATAAGTAGTAACTTGTGTCAATATAATGGAAACTTAGTCAGACACGTCAATAATTGTTTTCATTGAATTTTGGCCTTTTAAAGATGAGATTTTGATTCATTTTAGTGAAGAACGGAATAATAACGAAGCAGAACAATGCTCACAGCAAAAAGAAATTGTGTCGTGGATTGTTCATTGTAGTAACAATGCTCCACACGTATCTAAGCTTGACCACTGAAAACGAAAAAAATGATTAGCAACCATTTCTAGTTGATGTAGTTCAGATATCCTGTACGATCTTTCTTCATATACAACGAAGGAAGATCACTTCAATTCATTCGCGATGTAAACTCGACATTTATTCAAAGAAAACTCAATGCATTCTTGAAACTATTATTTATGTCAGTTTCACTAGGAAAATAATATTGTTTGCTGCCGACGATTGCGGAGAAAAATTTTGATCGTTGCACATGAGTTTTGACGCACTGCACATATCTACTAACTCACTAAATCGAAAAGTAAATCCTTGAGTCAATCCTAACCCGCAAAGTCTGAATCTAGCGCAGGATTTAATCTACTCAAGCCTAATGGTTGTACTGTCTATAATCTCTGTCGAATGTATAAGTAATGAACATGGTTTTAATTTCAATAATCACGAATATTACTTTCGACATTATGCTCTGTGAATTTTTTGTTTTATTTAATTGTGCATATATAGATTTATTAGTCGAAATGCTTATTAGTTCGATATTCACTAGTGACAATTAACGAATGACTGTAATCAGGCTAGATACTGAACTAAAAACTGATGGTTTAATATATTTTGATTCCTAAAAAGGCTGGTCTTTCCAGTATTTTTGTCTAACTTGTACTATGAAAATTAACATTTTCATCATGGATTTATGATACTGTGATGTACGAAACACATTTTCTAGGAAGTCAAAAAAAAGATTTAGCTTTCCTCCTCAACTGATATAGAAATATTTATATGATGAATTGAATTTACCTTAATATGATCTGTTAGATGATAATCTCATATATATCTCCTCCATCTTTGATCATTTGGTTTTTGAATAAAACTAAAGAGAAAAGAAAATACAATTTAATTTTGACTATATACATTCTGGTCGAACGATTAGCTGTTCTTTCGCTTTATTTAATAAATGAATCAAAATTTGAAAAATTGTTCAAGATTTATTTTATTAATATTGAATACATATATAAATTTAATTACATTTATAGATGAAATATTTATATTAAGGCGATTTTTTATTGTCTTCAGAAAGATACTTAAACAGAAATAGTATAATAGATTTTTCAATGAAATATTATTTGACACAAAACAATGATAAGATTATAGTTGATTTGTTGTTTGATGATAACCTTTTTTTGAGTATTTCAATCTCGTTTAAAAGAATTCTGTAAAAGATAATCAAAAGAAAAGAATTCAACAAGTTATCATTTAATTCTTTTTTAGATATATTTTTCTTTCTATTAAAAATTCAAAATAGATAAAGTGAAAAGCGAACAAGTTAACGCCCATATGTTCGACTGCGATCAATCTGCGACGCAGTTACGCGCAACTGTGATCGCACTGTGACCCGTAATTGCGGAAAATTGCGACGCAGCTACGCGTAACTGCGAATTCTCTACCGTAACTGCGTGCAACTGCGATATTTTTTTCGCAGTTACGCGTAACTGCGATGCAGTTGTTAAAAAAGTGGCGACATGGGCAATTATCACTATTGTCTTTAACGTCTAGTTATTGATATAATTAATTAGATTTATCAATGACATAAAATCCAAATTTTCCAATAACAATTTCGATACTTGAAATGAATTGAACGATTAAATGATAAAATTCGATGTTTTCATAATGAATTTTGTAATAGATATTGAGAAAAAGATTGTTTTTTTTTAATAACGAATAACTGTTTATTTATCTAAATAAAAAAGAATTTTATTGAATTGTTTTATTTGAATAAACATACTAATATATTCAAATATTTATAAAGATTGTATTTATTATGAAAATCCAACGGTATAAAAGGTATTTAGTTTGAAAGTCTAGTTGAACTCAAAAGTATTATAAAATTTCATTAAAAATAAATTTTGAAGTTTAAAATTTTTCTCTTTTTGTGTACTCAAAAAGTGAGTACACTCTAGAATCGGTCAGTATGTCCGGCCGGCCGGCCGTCCGGCCGTTTACACGATAACTTTCGAAAGGAGAGTCCGATCACGATGAAATTTTCTACACAGTTCAGTCTTAACAATGTCTCGGTCGAGTTCGAAGATGAGCAGGATCCGTCAAGAAATGGCTGAGTTATAGAAAAANCAGGATTATTAACTGAACAGGAAAGATTAGGTCGACCACCTCTTTCCTTACTGGAGGACAACAACAGCGGTCACTGGACAAGTACATCTCAAAAAATCCAACTGCAACTTCTAATCAACTTTCGAACTATATCTTTAGCAAGTTTGGCATTCAAGTACAAACCAAAGTCAAATGAACACAAACTGAAGTCGAAAAACTTCATTTATTTACAGTGGAGCATCAAAGTAGTGACCTCAAAATATGAATTTTCATTGATGAGACACAGGTCAATTGCGTAACACAGGTAAAATCGATTGGATGAAACGTGGGGAACCAGCGCCTACACATAAAATATCTTCTCTTCGTGTTTATGTCAATTTATAAGGTGTAGTTTGGTGGAATGGCAAAACGTTCGCAAGACTGCTCTCATCGACTAATTTTTTAATGGTTTCTAGTATTTAATCAATTTAAAACAGAAAACTTAAAGACATAGAAAAGCTGAATATGAGTAACGAAGCATCGAAGAACAGTGTATGTGATAATAATATAATCTTTTTTTAATGTCCTTATAAAGCGTAAAATAAACGATATAGTCAGCGGGCGAAACTTTTGTCGTCGACTAAAAACAAAAAAAAAAACAATGAAAATAGAAAAATAATTTTATCTATGACGTTTTGATTAATACTCAAAGTTAAATTCAAAAAAATCTCTTGTTCAAGTTAGAACAGTTAAATTATATCGATTTTTATATTGAAATCAAATAATATAGTCATAGTTATAATGCATCTATCGAAAAATTATTACAAAAAAAAAAAGATAATATGGTTTCTAGACACATTAACTTTCATCATATTTTATCTTCTATTGGTTATTTATATCAACATTTATCATTGTTAGTTAATATTTTCAAAAAGAATTTTGATTAGGTCAAAAGATATGCATCGTTATCTTCTCAATTTGATCTTGAATAATGATCCTATCAGTTACTTACAATTAGTAATAGCCCAATAACGATCGAGTGCAATGGCAACAAGATGCAATATAGAAGCCGTACAACAAAGTAAATCAATCATAACCCAAGCATCGCAAACATATGATCCAAGTACCCATGAACGTGTCACTTCTTTTAGGACAGCTATGGGCATAACCTAAATAAATATTAATATATGTATTTTTAAATGATCAACAATTATTCTGTTTCATTTGAGATATATTTTACCTAAAAATAATTCTCTTTTTTATATTTGATCGATTAGATAATTGTTTTTCTAGTAAAAAAAAATCTCTTAAGATTATTATAATCAATCATTATTCTCAATCTAACTATAGAAGAAATTCTAGTTGAACATAATCATATTTTTCTTTTTTTGTATTATAAATTGGGTCAACAAACATTGTATTGTCACTGATTTGATTTCTATTATTCTATAATAAATATAATTGTTATTTTTATTAGTTGATTCGTTTTTCTTTTTTTTATCTTCTGATCATGAGCATCAATTTTACACACATCTGCTATTCACTCTATTGATATTTTCTTTTAACTTGTGTCTATTGAATTTCAATCTGTTTGTATATGTACACTAAGGACACTTGAAAAACAACTAAGCAACATTCTATATATATATATATATATATATGTATATTGAATGACATTGTTGCTACATAGCGTGAGTGCAAATATGCTATCCGACAGTCCACATAAATGACATTGACTTCTATGTGTATCGCAACTCATTTGCTATCCGTATATTTGATCTGTATAGGCACTTGACAAACATTGATGTGACAACATACTTCCATACGTCTAATTTATTGTTTAGTAAATAGTTATTGGAGTAAGTCAATGAAGTCTTTCCGTATATATGAAAGCAAGAAAAAGACTTCTTTTTATATATAGACAAGGAGAATCCCAAGAATAATCATCCATAGCATGCATACATATAGACATATATATATATATACAAGAGAGAAAGATGCTAATGTCGAATGACAAGCAAATAATTCAACTGACTAACTCTGCTGCCACTGCTTTTGTTGTTATTGTTGATCGACATGTTTAATCAGACGGGTAATATGCCTCATTCCAAATGCTGATGTGGTAATGTTGATGATGACAGACTCAAAGTTTACTTGTCTATGCACATACGAAATAAATCTATAGCTATGTAAGGTAAATGAATTTTCATTGAAAGAAAGGAAGCTATGATTATTAAACATCAAACAAGAGAAATAAAACAAAAACAAAAAAACAATCTATGAAAAAAAAATTCCATGTTTGATGTGTCATTTATTACTATAGAAGATTTGATAACATCAATTTTCACAAAAATTCTCTGTTGTGATTCGGTTCTTATTTTGCTTTCTTGTTCTTAGTTTCTAGTCTTTTACAATCATCTCACATTCAGAAAAGAAAAATGACAGAGATCGATGTAGTAAACATCAGTAAAAACTCGAGTGTTAAATAAAAAAAAAAAAAGAAGAAGAAAAGACAATAACTGGATGATAGAATGACAAAAAAAAAAGAATAGAATAAAAACAATGCATGTGAATCTTTCTATATGTGTATAGAATAGGGAAAAGATTGTACGTGGTATTGAATAATAATTATAATAATAAAATAAAATTGCAACCATGCACAACGAGAATAAGGGAGAAACGAGCCGAAACAAAGTCATATGAGAATATTTCTTTCTCTCTTTTTTTTTTCTTTTTCTATCAATATATCCATCACAATCATCACTCATGTTTAGTAATAATAACAATAAAACCAATAATAATAGTAATAGTAACAGCCGTAGCAGCTGGTTTATCCTTTGCTTTCTATCAACTTTAGAATATAGTTAACGCTTTTCTTTTCGATTGCTTTAAGCAAAAACAAAAAAAGAAAAATTATTTTTTACATGTTTATATCTGTAGATAGATATTAAGCAGAGTGAATCGTCTTCATTGTATCGTTTATCTGTAAAATCAAGGATCATTTGGTCGAACCAATTATTTGTGCTTGTCTTGACGTCATAAACAAGTCGAGTATATTTTTTTATTTATTTGTTTGTTCTTGAATAAACGAAGGCAATAGTATCAAGTAATCAGAAAAAACTTGTATACATGTCGAAATGAGACTGTCGAGTTTTCTTCTCATGTTATCATCAAACAAAAAAAAAAGAAAGAAAGAGCCCAGACGATAATGTTGTTCTTGCACATGTATGTCATCAAGAAACAATTTTTTTTTGCTACGAAACAACAAATGTATATAATGCACGTATTTATGATATAACGAAGACAAAACTCTAGACATGCAGTCATAATTCTTTTCATTATAGTCTTGTTGTAGAACAAGAGTTTCTGTCAACAGCATTAATATATCATCAATTTCTTAATTGGAACAGATATAGACAACAAGAAACAACAACTACGTTAGATATAAAGACTGATAGATGGATATACGAACGTCAAAAACTGCTTCATAATATATGCCACACACTCCATTAGTACAGTAACTAAGATTAATTAAATCAATATATAGAAAAACAATGATCTTTTCTTTCCCTATTTCGTTTTTCATATTTCTTTAGCCTTGTAATCGGACAGTTGAAAGAAGACAAAAGAAAAAGGAAAAGAAACAAATTACATTTATTAATAACTTACCATAGAAGCTACCATTAAATCGGCCACGGCTAATGATACAAAAAGATAATAGGCAACTGAATGAAGACTCTTTTCGATTTTAACAGCAGCTATAACTAGTATATTTCCAGTAATTGTCGCTAATATAATTGTACCAAGAATAATTGCTGTTAATATACAATGTTGTACAGACACAAGTATTGATGATGATATTGGATGATCTGTTGATGCTGTTAAATCGTTGTTTGAACTGTCGCCACCTGTTATAACATTTGGATCGATTACGTCTCCGAATATAATTGATGACGAATTGAACTGAGCAAAAGTACCATTGACACACGAAAGATTGTATGTTAAAAAACAGTCCATCGAATCGACGAACATAAAGTCGGAAAGACTTCGATTCGATTTTTATAGGAACGTTAATTATATTATTTATCAATTTATGTTCGGCTCGATGCACTGAAATCAGGTTATGGGTACCAATTGAACGAGCCCAAGCGGGCGAGGCCATATGGTGATAAAAGTATACAGAATAATCTTCTTCACCTGGTCACCGTCAATATCATCGTCATTATTGTTTTATCATTATCATTAATAATGTTTCGTCGAACGAATATGATGAATTCTGAAAATATTTGTTGCCTAGAGAGGCATGGAACAATAAATAATATTTCTTTTTACTACAAGAGAGAAACCAACAGAGAAGAAGAAAGAGAGAGAGAGAGAGCGAAGGAGACACAGAAGAAAATAAGACTGACTGCGGCTGTTGCTAGCCTATCTTATCTTTCTCTTGAGAATCGCGCTATCTCCTTCTCTTCCCGCCTCAAAAAACAATATTCACTGTTCGAACGAGAATGACAACTAAGAGAGGGAATTAGAAAATGTCTTACGAAAACAAAAATCAATATTTTCTTGAATTCAAAGTGTATCTAGACTTTCGTATTCAAAAGTAAAAATCAATCAATTTTGCCCTTTCATGTATTCAATTGATCTTGTTATTTTTTTTGCGCATCTCTTTCAAATGACAATTATTTCCATACACCTAACAGCAGGTTTCTTAGTCAACAGTTATTTGAGTGTTGATCAAATAACCTATTATGTACAGTAGACATTATGAATATGTTTATTGTACATTCTTAATAAGGAAAAAAAGTACGAAAAAACGACCATCTTCAATGTTGAATCAACAAGCTTATAAAGAAAAACGACCCGATGATGGGTGTTGACGATAAGAGGCCTCGAGAGAAAAATCACACCATATACAAACGATATCAGATCAAGTCATCTATATATGTCTGTGTAGATTCTAACGGTGTCTTCAGATTATATCGTCATAAAAATCCAATTAGACGGAAAGAAAAAGAATGAAATAGACACAAAAAAAAGTTGTAGTTTGACTATCTTCAAAATAAGAAACTTTTTCTTTCTCAAAAACAAACATGAATAAGATAGACATATTTCATTGAATTCTTTATTTTTTTCTAAAATGATCGATCATGCTCACTATTTTATGCTAAAAAAATGTCAATACATGTACACTTGTTTGACAAGAATGTTTTTCTCGAAACAACAAGAAAAGAAAAAAAAGACAAGTAAAAGTCCATAAAAGCTCGCTGTTCATACTTGCATGTGGTCTCCATCTTTCTCTCTCTCTCTCTCTCTCTCATCAGTTCTTTAAGACAAGCCAAATACGCATATTCATATAGAGACATAGCCTGATATACTAGCAGAATTTTTTCCATTTCCTTTTCCTGTTCTTTCTCTCATTCTCTTATTATCTTTCTTTTTTCATATTTTGGAAAACAAAAAAAAAGGTAATCGACAATGGTAAAAACAGTTATACATTGTACCTTTTTCTGTTTGCATGTTGCATGGAAACTACTATCTGTTATTTGTGTGTGCTCTAATAATACAAGAATATATGTCATTGTCCTATGAAAGTCATCGATCATCACGTATATTAGCTGTCTTGTTATTCAAACCATACATTATTATTATTATTATTATTATTATTATTATTATTATTATTATTATTCCCAAGTTTATTTGCTCACCTGTTTTCATTCATAAATAATAATTTTTTTTTATAAATCGACTGTATCAAGGATAAATAAGAACAAACTGAAATAGGTCAGATTCAGATGACTTTAAACAATATATACATATATATATAATATCTATCTATATATATATATATATATATATATATACCCATGCAAGCTATTATTTGTAGTGTAGTCCCTAACCAAATTAGTTCAATACACTGCCGAAAATTAGCCACGCAAGCTGAGTGAATCCGTTACATGGATTGTTTTTCGCTTGCTCGAATGAACGAATTCCCCATTGAACGGCAATCAACGTAAAGAATTTTTCACATGCATACACACGACTCGCTATTTATTATATACATCCATGATAATAAAGAAGAGCAGTACCTTAAGGGTAGTACTTGTTGGTTGAATAACTCATCATATTTCTACGAAAACAAGAGAAACAAGTGCTAAATGAATATAATTTGTAAAATGTTTTAATCATGTTCTTGTTAGTTGCTTCTTCGTCTATTTATTGGTGAAAATACCAAATCTGCTTAATACAATAACTATCTATAGTAGTTGTCCAAAAGCGCCCATTATGACTTCTTTTAATAGCGTTACTGTCGGGTGCGCTCTTTTGCTTTTGTGCGAAACAACAAAACAGCTCTATCAAATTAGAGTGATATATTTGACAGAGCTGCACAAGAACTCTTACAAAGACGAATGCTCTGAATAGCAAGCACTAGACAAATGCAGAAAAAAGAGAAGAAAACGGAAATAAAGAAAAAAAAAGAAAAAATAGAAGAGAGAGCTCTCATCAAAGTGAGCTTGTCCATTGCACTATAGTCTTGTTTCATGCTTGCATGCATGATCAATAGCTGCTAGTATATCTCTCTTGCGATTTACTTGGAAATCATAAAATCATCATTACGTTCTTTGCATCGTTTTCACTCGTCATATTATCATAGCCTACAGAGATCAATTCATTTGCTCGAATGATTTCTCATTACACGTGTTGATCATATTCGTACGGTCGTTTTTTTTTTTGACACAAAACAAGAAGAATGAAGGAAAGAAAGAAGAGCAATATTACTCGATTCAAATCATTCATTAAAGGATAACATATTCATCAAAGATGCCAAATAGAAACATCGTAAAGCGAAGAAAACAAGTGCTTAGATCAACATTGAAAACATCAAACTCAAATGTCATTATTGACTTAGATACATTGAGAAACATACGATAATACTTTGTTGATAGAAAAACGAGATCTATGCGTATATTTTTCTTGCTGGCTGTTATCGATGAAAAAAACTCTTAATGCCATTTTCTCTCTATAATCACCTTTGAAGATGGTCGAAACACAAAAGCCTCTCGAAGGAAATCATTCATCGTCGGTGGAAATTATTCGGACTGTAAGACTTAACATTCATACAAATGCCAACTAACTATTAACAAAAATATAGAAGGTAGAAAATGATCGAGACAGACGTCAACAAAGGAAGTGAGAAGGGAAATTGTTATGATTAGAATAAATAAGAAGAATTCCAGATTAGAAAGCAAAAAGATATCGTCATCTAGACGTTTATTTAAAGTTAGTTAATATGAACTCAAAAGAAATCTTACTAAAATAAATAAAATAAATGAATAGCAATATAAGCAACTAGACCATACTTTTTTCATCTCGTTGTTCTCAATAACGTTCAATCAATACTGAAACACAAATGATGGCTATCTTACTTTAGTATATGCTATATATTATAATACTTTAAGAACTCTCGTTTTTCAATAAGAGTCCGATGATTCAATTGAGAAAAAAGAGGGAAAAAAAAGAAAAAAAACACACCTTACTGTGCTCGAGAATTTTTAATAGGCACTTTTAATAACGATGCTAATGCTTTTTTTCTCTTCGTATTATGTGCACAGCAGTTGTATTTTTCTTTTGTTTCATGAATAGGGAATAACAGTGGAATGCAATAGTTAGGCATGCGTTTGCAATAAGGGACTACTAAGAAACGATAGCTTAAAAATCATCTACAGTCGCCTTCTACCAAATCGGAAGAAACACATACATAGTTGTTTCCCTCTCTCTCTAGTCGTATTTGACTATTTCTTTCTCTCTCATATTTAGAAATGGCATACATACAAACAAATAATCAATGTAAGCCATCGGGCAAAAAAGATGCGCTAAAGAAAAGAGATCACAGCGCGAAAGAAAGAACAATGCAATAGAAAAAAAAATTTTGTTGGTCCATAGGCGAAGCATCAGAAAAAGAAAAGTGTCATATTTCTGTCTATGATTATTGTTGCTGTTCGTTTTTCTTTTCTTTTTCTTCTCGTTAGATTTCTATTTTTTCTTTTCAGTTTTTATTAATAATATTAATGATATTTTTTTTATTTTATTTTTATAAATCTGTATAATTTTCGTTCGCATAATTTAACAAAAAACTTATATAATCTGTGGATTCTGTTGTTGTTGTTACATTTGAGGTGTTGATTGTTGTTTGATTATTCGAAAGATTTAATAAACTTGATTGCGATCCACTATTTGAATATGTTATTGTTACTGTTCGTTTACGAAACATTCGCATAAATAATGTTAAATAAATAAATGTAAAAATAACAACAAGAAGCATTAAATATATCCAACAATTAGATGCCTTATATGCATTATGTTTTAAACGTTTACTTTGAATATTGAGTTTAGCTACATTAGTATCAACTAAATTTTCTGCTTCAGTAAGCTTCTGAAAAATATTAAAAAAATCGATATTCAATATTGAAAGAACAAATCAAGGAAATTAAAATATACTTTTTGATCATTTTTAACAACATCATGAATAAGTTTTGCATTATTTAAAAGACTTTTAGTTGTTATACTCATTGATGTAGCTATTTCATTTTGTTTATCTTCTTCAGATTGTATATGTTGTTGTTGTCGATTTAAATTTGCTAGAAAATAAAAATCAATGTCGTCAGGATTTATTCAATATAATTTTCATCAAAGAATAAACAGTTAAAAGGTGTTGTTTAAACATCATTCGACATTAATTCTTTAAGTTAGATTCGATCGAATCAACTAGATATTTTCGTCTTAAACCATTCGAATATAAATTACTTACGACGATTAGGTTTATTTGATGTATTGAGATTATTTTCTATTTCAGTAGAAAGTATTGATGTAGTTGTAATTTCAAGTTGCTGTTCTTTAACAGGTGGTATGTCTGTTGATGTTTGTTGAATAACTTGTCGAGGAAATGTTTGATCTTCCTGAAAAGATAATTTAATTATTCAAATGTCATTTTTTACGTATAAAAATATGCAGAATATTCTTTTAAGTTTTGACTAGGAATAGATAAATGTTACTACGTCTAAAATATTTACATTTGATCTTACTGATAATATGAAATGGAATCAATGAATTGAAGACTTTTAACTAAACCAATTGAAAGAAATTAAGTTAATTATTATGTTAAAAATAGAACAAGTTTATAAGGAAAGAATTTTTCTGAATTATCATGGCCAAATCTTTAAAAGAAAATAGTTGTCAATCGATATTTCTAACAGATATTGAATAACATTAACCAGTTCATTATTCAAATCAAAAATAGAACAAATTTTTAATCATAAAGTATAATTTATATAGCTAGATGATCAAAAACATATTTGAGATGTTTTATATTCATTTTTCTATGGACGGATGTGATTAACAAGAGAACATATTCAATTGTTGGACACTGTTCAATTTTGTATTATAGCTATGAATAGATCTCTGTGAGGTTAATCAAATTTCAAAACGAAATTTATTACTAACAAGAGAACTCTTCCAACTAATAAATCGCTTTTTAATTAAGACTATGTATATTATGTAAACCTAATTGATCTATGAATACTCTGAAAAGATTTCATGTTCTTAGCTTATTGCTACAGAAATACTTCACATTAATAGTTTTTTTTAAATGAATACCGTAGTAACAGAACAACTGATTTTTAAATTTCGACTTGAAATTTTGCTTAGAGACAAACCTTAACAAGAGTAGTTTCAGAATAGAAACCAATCAAAAGACCTAATTAAGGCTTGTGCCTCTATGTAAAGTTTTAAGTCGAAATGCGAAAATCAGTTTTTCTGTTAGCACGATATTCATTTAAAAATACTGTAAATGTTCAACATCACTATAGCAATATGCTAAAGGTATGAACTCTTTTTAGGGTATTCATAGTTAATTTAGGTCTACATAATGCACATAGTCTCGGCTCAAAGGCGATTTGTCATCTGAAAGAGTTTCCTCATCGGATCAGACTAATTTCGGGAGAATCCAAACAAAGAATTTTAATCGGAAATTTTGCCTATAAATTGATTTCATAGTCATTAGAGAGCTCTGAAAGTTTCAACAAAAAACGAAAATGTCTTTCTTGAAATAGTCAATTTCCAAATAGATTGGACTATTGTCTCCGATTGTGGCCAACAGCTTTTTTCGGAAGTGAATATTTCAAGAAAAACATGTTCATTTTTTTGTTAAAAAATTCATAGCTTTCTAATGACTATGAAATCTATTTATAGGCACAACTTCAAGCCAAAATTATTTGTTTTGAATTTTTTGATTTTGATTATAGTAAAACGGTCGTAATTCTTAATCAATTGGCTACGAACACGAAACTTTTAACATTTGTCTTAATGTCATGAAGATCTACTTGTAGTCAAAATATGAAATTGAATGGAATCTGACGATTTGCCATATATCATTGTAAGACAATCCAAATAGTATTTATAAGAGACGCTAGTTTCATTTCACCCCTTATCTCTTGAGTGAGCTTTGCGCATAGGCAATCGAACTATGAGGCTTGGAATATACTGCCTTATGCAGTTCATCAAAATTCTTATACAAATATTTAAATTTTTTCATCACTTTCGGTCGCCAATAATAGCATTATCATAATTATGCGGACTTAAGAAACGTATTTGAGCAAACATTGAGTTTAATGTTGAATCCTTCACTAACAATCATTTTGTCTGATACTTTTTTGTTCCAAATGAAGAAAAAACTGAACGGAAAACTCGAGTGAGATCAACAAAAACTGCCGAAAGTTTTCTTTGTCTTCAGTGACTACGCCTAAGGGTCTAAGAAATATAATTAAGAAAGTAAGCAAATCCACAATTTAATTCTTTTCGTCCGATGAACATTACAGCTTCATCATTATTATGTTTTCCAGTCAAATAAGACAGAAGCTTTTCTGTCAATAGTCAAAATTAAATAAAACAAAAAAAAAAAAACGCGTTGATGTGTTTTGTTTTAAGTGCACGTCATTTGACACAAGTTGCGAATTTTTTCTGAACTATAACACCATTATACATTCCAAAGTTTGAGTTGGAAATAAGAAGCACTAACTGTCTATCATTTGAATGGCATAAAAAGATTTCCCTTCTTCCTTCCTACTCATAACTTTCCGGCGGGGATCTAATAGAAATTGTTGAGCCTACTTTACATTCACAACGCTTCGTTGCCTATGGCTTTACGTTCTTCTTTTCACATTATTCATATGTAAGAATATCTTGCTTCAACATAATTAAAAATCATAGTCACTATGGAAATTAAAAGCAATTTTTTTATTAAAATTGTGTCTTAGAGCAATACCTACTAATTTAGCTGAATCAATATTTTCACGAAGTATATCAATTCTTTGTTTATATTGATCAAGTTGTTTTGAACTTGGTCGACTAGAATTAATAAAAACAAACTCTTTTTCTTTTCTATCTATTGAAAACAAAAGCCAAATAGAGAATATTACTTCATCGATTTCCACATATCATTTAACATGTCTGTTAATGCTTTGACAAACTAAATTGAAACAAAAATAAATAAATAAGAAACCAAAAAAAAAAAAAAAAAAAAAATTCAATATTTTCTTTTACTTGATTAAGTTTCCAATCTTCAATAGATTTTTCTTCTAGAAGTTTTTCAGTTGATAGTAACAACCTTCGAAATTTTTTTTCTGTTGTTAAATGTGAAAATGAAATTATTGCTGCCATCTGAAATAATAAAACTGAATTTTGTTTATTTATCTTTTTTAATGTTATCATCAATCTCAATTTGTCTGTCAAACAAGAAAAGAAGAAAAAAAAAGGAATTTGTTTTTTATTGATTCTTTTTTATCAATGTCTTTTTTCGTTGATTCCACATATGTTGCATCATTTGAACAAGACCTAAACAAAAAAAACAAAAAGATCTCTGAAATTTTATTCTTTCCAATTCAATTTTTATTTACCTATTGGTAATAGTACTAAATAGATACGAAGAAATAGAGCAAAATCAAATGAAAAATTCATTTTATTTGGTAAATTTAGAGTTAAATAACCATTGGAATGATAAAAATCAATACTTTTGTAAACTATTAAGCCTAGATAAATAAAAACAAAACTCCGAGAATTATAAACTAATTATTAATAAGAAAATATTTTTTTTACCTTCAAGAAATGCTCCTAATGGATAAAGAATAATCCAAAGTGTATAACGGAACCAAGTAATTATACGATTTGGTTTATTTAATAGACGAATGCCATAGTATGGATAACTTTGAAAAACAAAACAAAAAAACAGAAAGTTCTTTCAAAAAATCATATTTTAATTTTTTTACTATACCGAAAAAGTTCAACAAAACTCCATACTAAGAATAAATAAGAAATAATTGGTGATGGTTTTATTTGATGATTATAATTAATAATAATAAATAGAATTAAATTTCGACCAGAAAACTAAATAAATAGATTAAGTTTTTATTATTTTCTTTCGATAAATAAAAATATGTTGTTTTCATTATTTATTTACTTGCATTAATGGTGATAACCAATCACCTTTAGTAAAACCAATTAATGGATGAATTATTTCAAGAACTGATAATGATTGACATAATTTTATTGGATTTTCCACAAGTCTATAACCATTTTTCAAATCTTGATAAAAGATAAATTAAATACTAGACAAATAGAATTATTTCTAATACTCACGTCCATTTGAAATAAAATGACTTATTAAACGAGTAAATACCCATAAATAAGCCATAAATTGAAAAAGATTATAGAAGAGTAACCAATTCGTTCGAAGATCAACAAAACCTTTAAAATAAAAGTATTAATTATATTCATTTTGTTTATTATACAGAGCAGAGATATACACGGCGACGGAATCAACTGTGCTTGAGATGTTTCAAAAATACTATCGAGGAAGTTGAACAGTTACAATTGTGTTCAATCTGATGAATTTAATTTCACTATGTTAATTTAGTACAATTACGGATGAGATTTTCAAAGAATCTCCGAAAAACCATCGCGTCGCGGTACGGTAGCTTTACCTCTTCTAATACCGCAGCGAATTTTCAATCGTGATAAATATCTTGAATACAGAGTGTACCGAAAGTTTATTGGAAAAGTGAACGTAAATATCTCTTATAGAATTTAAGCCATTTAATTACTTGTTCATAATACGATATGATGTTCATTAAAGTTTTAGTCAATTTATTTTCAAACAAATATCTGTGCCCCTAAACATTCAAATAAGAATTATTTGTTGAATTTAGGCAAAGAAAAGTTTTAATATTTTTATAAATCTTCCAAATTTACAAAATAAAAGTTCAATAAAGTTTGTAATTATTGTACTAAGTACTATCTGTCATACTTCCAAAAATACGTATTCGTCCTGCTGAAGTGTAAAATCACCTCACCGGAAATGAAAGTCTAGATAAAATGCTGGTTTTACGGTATGGGAATTATTACTAACATTTGTTGTTCAACCAAAGTTATATTAAATAAAACTTCAAACAACACATTGTCATATGATTAATAAAAGGGATCAAATTACTTGAATTTGTTAAGATAATTATGTTTACTTTTCCGATTAACTTTTTGGACATCCTGTATAGAAGAATTTGGAATAAGATTATACTTTTAAATGCAAAAGAATATCGTGTAGAATATTGATTAAGTCTCATGTTAGTAATTGAATAAAAACTGATTGTTAAAAAGTGTAGGATCAGTCTAGTTACCGTAGATGATCGTAATGGAAAAATTTTGATTTTTAATGTATAGATGTATGCCGTTCAGTTAAAATACTGTTTTATAACGAAAATAGATACGTAAAATATAAAATTTTCTAATATCAGGAGTAAATTTTCATTGATATCTTTGTCTGATTTCTTATTTGCATGTTACTGTCATTTAAAAAATCTTTGAATTTGAAAAAATTTCGATTCGTTTTTAACCATTGTATTTCTTTCACATTTTTACTCGAATATCTATCTCCATTTCAATTGCATGAAAAATCGAATTTTTATCACATATTTGTTTGAATAAAAGATCAACAATGCTCGTCTTAAATGTATATCTCAGTTTGTACATTTATCTTAATATCCATACTATAAGCAAGAGGCGGCTGTGGAAGTTTAAAACCATTGCATGGTCTATGTCTATTACTGGCTCAAAGGTCAATCTACCTCACTCTACCATGAAATTTTAATCCGGTAATAGACGCACACTTGACATTTTGTATATATAGATTTCCAGTAGACTTCATAATATTAAAATGTCAACAGTGTTGGCTTGAACTTATTTATTTTAAATTACCTTTTGGTTTACCTCTACGAGAATCTTGCCGAAGCGATTCGTAGATATCATCATCAAAGCTATTTTTCTACAATAAAATAATATTAAAAGACAAAATTATTAGTGTTTTTTTTTTGTACTTACAAATGTTGGCTTCTTTTGTTCATGATCTGATTCATCTTCACTATATGTCATCTTATCAAAATCAGCCTATAAAAATGAAAATATATGAAAATAATCATTTTAATACTAATTTTATTACCTTTAACCAAGGTAATTTAGCAGATGTTTTCGTTAAACGAGGCCATGGATTTTTTGTATCAGTTGTATTTTTCTTTAAATTAACATTTATTTCACGATCATTTGTTTTATAACTACTAGCCTGTATAATAATAAAAAATATATATGTTAATATTTTCTTCATTTTAATTTACTTTTGCATCAATGTTATTATAAAGTTCAATTTCAAATGAATATAATTGTTCACCACGTGATCCACTACATCCAGTAGCTTGAAATTTAATACATGATTCATTAATATCAATTTTCGGATACTAAAAACACGAAGACAAAGTTTTATTTCATCATAAAACAAAAACAAAAAAACAAATACCAATCATATGATTTATTGCGTCATTCATCTAACTTAAAATGACACTATGTCAATAAGTATATCATCGTTAAATTAATATCGCTATTTTTGTTTTCTTTTTTATTGATTCTATAAGTATTTGCTTTACTCATTTTAATTCAAGTCGTCTCCATCAACTTTTATCTTTCAGTTTTTCTCTATAAAATCGAACGAATCAAATAAAGCCACGTATGAAAATTAAAACTAGTATGAAATAATCTACATATTATTTTGTTTTCCATAAAATTGATTTAAAATGGTTTGAGTCAATTTTATTGATTTAACTGTCGAATAAATTCATTTCAGCATTTCATGTTGTCAAACATTTGTTTTTAACTATTCTTAATTAATACTAAAGTTGAGAAATAGTTCTCGGTTAACTATATTCAGAATCAGATTTTTTTTATGTATAGTGTTCTTTCAAAGTATCAATCGATATTTTCTCAGGTATGTTAAGATTTACAAAAAGAAAAAGGAGATTTTAGAAGTTATCAACACATGAGCAAATAATTTCCAAAGAAATCCTCTCATTATCGATTTATAAGAAAGAATTTTCTATAGGAAATTTTAATGTTCGCTCGTTATTCATGAGAATAGTTGAATATTTCTATATACAGTCGTGGACAAAAGTCTCCTTCGAGCAGATTTCCACTTCCATTCGTGCACATATTCCCTCCAGAATGTAGACCAGAGGCATGAGATCGTTCTGATAACTTAAATACAAAAAGAATTATGATGGACATCACCTATTGTAATATTTTTATTTGAAAACTGAAGCCCAATATACAGTCTTTCGTCACTCAAAAGATCATAAGATTTGTTTCAAGATTGCTGTCTCTGGATGTTTTTGAATCCTTGGTGCCAACACGATGATTCTTGGCATGTCGTTTCTCTTTAGAAGAAAGTTCTCTTTTTTATAGATTTGTACTATAGGCAAAGCTGTCGTAAAAGTTTCAGCCCAACTCATTGAAGTATTACTGAGTTACGATCTACAATGAGGATTAGAGAGTTTTTTTTATCTCTCGAATAGTCACAGTAAAACGGCGAGAGATAATGACTGATCCATAAAATCTATTCTTATCAGAAGTATAAAGTTCAAAGAAAAAATGAATGCTATTCATTATCATCCATCATAATTTTCATTGTGTTTAAGCAATCGGGGCGAGTTGGTGACTCTAATCCACATTCTTCGTGGATTATGTACAAATGAACTTTTAGACTTTCAATGGCTATGACAGGCATCACTGTATTCCCCAAAATACTATCGTGAGAAATCTTTGGTATTACTCAAAATTCTTATTGTCTTCAAGTTGAACTTCTGAATTTCTATAGACGTGTCAATTGCAATTATTCATACCAATGTAATTTCCCTGATTTCTTTATAATTTCTTCCTTATTAATCAAGCAGAATTCCCCAGAAATTATCTGCTCAAGTGTCGATAATTTCAGAAATTTCCGTTCTTGAAAACCTAAAATACCGTTGAAAAACAATATGTCTATTGAAGTTTTCATAATCTACAGTTCGTTTTTTCTATTATCTATACGAAAAATTGTAAATCTGAACTCCACCGAATCAGAGTTTAACATAAAACCAAAGATAATAATAAATTCTCACAAAAAAATCCATTTTTTCTTTTTTCTATTCTCTTTCTCATGATTACTAAATAACATAACTCTAAACGACAAGATCATCAATTTCTTTATTTAACAACAAACAGAATTTTTCATAAATCATCGATCAATTTCAAAACAAATAGTTTCACTGAATAAAGAACATCAATCCGAAAATCATTTAATTACATACTTTTACATCCGTAAGTCCAATACGTAATGATACATTATGTAGTGTTTGTCCCCAATGAATCTAATAATAAAACTTAATTCTCAATTTTTATTGCTAAAATTAACATGCAAATAATACCGGCGGATGTAAATCAATAGATGATGCCATCTAAAATAGTCCAATATAATACCTTTATATTCCCCTTGAACCAATAAATACTTTTCTTGCTTGTCAATACACAATGCATTGAAATATACTTTTTTTTCAAATTTTTGTCAAAGTTATTTATTTATTAGTATAGTAGAGTTTGAGAGAACATACGCAAAAAAAAGGGGGGAAAAGAGCCACATAAAAAAAGATCAGCGCATTAGGGCCAGAGAAAAAAAGATGACACAGATATACACACACACAAAAAGAGGGTTGCTTGCTTGTTTTTATAAACAGCACAAAAAAAAAAAAAGAAAAAAAACTATGGTTTTTTTTTTTCCATCATCACCATCTTTTGTTTTTTTTTTGTTTTGCTTCAAATAAGTCAAACATAAACACGCGTTAAATCTATCTGCGTGCACACATATATATGTGAAAATTTCATTCACAACAGCTGAATTTCTACAAAATAGATCTTATTTATATATATATGATTGATTTGCTTTTTTGTTTTAGCGCAAAGACAAAAAAAAAAAATTAGGAAGAAATTAGAGCAAAAAAGACAAATTCAAATGTATTGATTTACACATGCACACACCACAACCATACATAGATATATACCTAAAATCATCGCACACACTACAAGACAAATTATTTGAGAAAAAAAAAAAAGAAAAATTTGCTTTTTATGTGCAAGACAAAAAAAAAGAGAGAAAGAGATTGACAGTAAAAACCAACGATTTAAGAGAATGAAAAAAAAAAAACATTATTGCACACATAAGCGTGCGTGAGCAGCACAGCACAACAGAGTAGTAGATCTCTTTTGTTTAGTTTGGTTCGTTTGTTTGTACTTTTTTTTTTTGTCGATATGAAGCTCGGCCATCAATATAAGAGCGTACATCACACATGAAAGAAAAAAAAAAGAAAACAAATAGACATTCACATCACGAACATACAAAAAATGGATGGTACCGGGAGGGAATTCTCAGTGCAGTACAGCATCATCGGCGGAAATAAAGAAAAAAACAGATATGAATTAAAGAACAAACAAAAAAAAATTCCATGTGAAACTCACACAAATATTAGTCGACAATGATAGATACACATAATGAAAGAGCATGAAATGTAAATATACACGATTGTAATGAGACAAAAAAAAAGAAAGAGAGAGAAAAAAAGGACACAGTTTTATCATTTCACTGACTTTATTTTGGCCGAGAAGAGAAAAAAGAACGAAAGATAATGAATTAAGAAGAATACGAAAAATGAAATAAACTCGACAGTTTTGTTTCGTCTATCATCATTGTTACTACTACATATAGGGTCGATAACCGCCGAAAGACGCATGTGGTGGTGGATGATTGAGCGATGGTTGTAGTTTTGACGTACCTCGATATTGATGTGGTTTACCCCAATCATTCATTGATGGTTGAAAACCTTGTTGATCGTGTAATGTTTGCTGCCATTGTGATCGATTTGCATGTTGACGATGCATATGATGAAGCAATTGAGGATTTGAAAAAGCACTAAAAGAAATATTTAAATTAACCGAAGAAAAATAATAAACTGTTGACTACAATCTCTGCGAGATTAAAATTTAAAATACGATTTAGCTGCTGTTATTAAAGACAGAAATATCTATTTTAGGACACATTTTCTTATCATCTTTTTATTGAATCCTACAGAAACGTAATAAGGAAGTAGTTTATTTATTATCACGAAACATTATTTATAGGCGGTCTGCGATCGTATATCACAGAAGTGTGTAGGGGGAAAAGTGTCAAATTTCTATTTTTATCAGGATTGTCGACATGTGTTAGAGGTGGGCGGAGCTAAAAATTCCGTAGAAAGTGTCTTCATTCTTGAAGAGGCTGGAAGTAGTGATCGAGTGTGGGGAAAGAATAAAACTCAGCATGACCCAACTCTACCCACAATCCTATTCATCTCCTAACAATATTGTTTGCTTATTTTTATTTCATTTCCTGATAGAATCCTTTTTTTCTTTTAAATTCTCATCTCGTTCTATACGCAAGTTTCGTATACTCATAAAAGTTGAACATTTTCGGAGGGAAGCAGCTGCTTCGTCTAATTGATAAATTTGACTTTTATACTTTAACACTCGTTTTAGATTATGTGCTTACCTTTCTGCTCCACCAACATTGAGATTATTCATAGATGATGATGGTCCTTTAGGACCCATTGTTAATGAACTTGGCGTAACGTGTGGATCATCTTCAGCATTAGGTAGTGATGCTTTCCAATTCCATAATTGACCAGGTATAAATGGTGGTGGTCCATCTGTATCATCAACATATTCTGATAATGCATCACCAAATGCTGATGATCCTTGATTATTGTGTGTATGAGGATCAATATTACCAACTTGATTATTATTATTATTTGATTCATTTGTTTGAGTATTTTCCCAATTTTCATTTGGATTATTTCCACTTGTTTGCCAATCTTTTTGTGTTAAACCAGGTGGTCCAAACATTGATGATGACGAATGTGGTCCTCGTGTTGATGTTTGTTGTTTCGTCCATTGATGTAAACGTGATTGATCAACATTTAATGAATGTTGCATACGTTCAGCTAATTGATCTTGAGATTGTGTTGATGATACACCAGGTGGTGGTTGATTTTGAGCTACTGGACCATTTGACATCATTTGTGTTGATGTTGGTGTTGGTGCACCTGATTGTTGTTGTATAAGTTTAGCATGTGCATCTTGAATTTGTTTTTGTACAACTAACATTTCTTGTTTTTTTTGTGTTATTAATTTTGACAAACGTTCATATTCCGTTTGAAAAAATGTTATTGGAAAACGTTGTTTATGTTTAGAAAAATCTGATAATTGAATTGATAATGCTTGATATTTTTGTTGAAGTTCAAATAATTTTTGAAGAAGCTTTAAGAAGAAGAAAAAAAAACATTAACCAAGAAAAACAATAAAAAGAAAAGAATTTCATGTATATTTACTTGTAACATATATGCTGGTAATTTAGTATTGAGCAAATCTTGACTAATTAAACCGGCTTGTACAGCAAGACGAAATTGTTGCATAATTTGAGCATGTACTGCACCGTTATTCACAGGTCCTGTTCCTGGTTGTTGTTGAGATGTTGGCGTTTGAGATGGTTGTGTTGGGATATTACTTTGTTTAGCTGCCAACGGAACATATGGTGCTTGATTTGGTACAGGTGATGTTGTTGATAATTTTGGTGATATAAGACTACCAGTACCCATTATAGCACCGGATGGTGTTGGAATACCATTTGGATTCATTGGTCGTAGAATACTATTTTGTTGATAAAGTGGACCAGGTCGTGGAGCAAATGGCAGTTGAGATGGTGGTAACATATGATGTGGTGGAGGATTACCTGATGAAGGTAATAAACCGCCAAGACCCATAATTGGATTTTTAAGTTCCGAACCTTGTCGATATAGATCAGCCATTGATTGATTTTCATAACCAGTCATACGATGTATAGAATGAGGATCATGTGTATTTTCATTGAGATCATAATCATTCATAAATCTATTGCGATTCATTGGTGGCATTGTTAATGGTCCACCCATACCACCACCACCACCACCACCACCACCACCTCCTTGTACTCCCCAACTACTAGTATCAACTTGACCTTCATATGGATCAAATGGAACTTTACTTTGCGAGCCCTAGAATGAAAGCAAATTATAGAATCATTTTTCTAGGACCAAAAAAAACAAGCTGTTAATGCAATCCCTATAGGATTTAACTGTAAAACATGATGTAGTTGCTGATGTTGCTAAACATAGGGAGATTGCTTTATTCAATTTGTTTTGGAAAATATTTCTTTATCATTCTTTTACTTAATCCGTCAGTAATATAAGGAAACAGTTCATATATGTTGACGAGATATTTCTCATATATCTATCGAAAGAAAGAAAGATGATTTAAATTTCTATTTCGATACTGTAACACTTGTTTTAGATTATGTTTCATAAAAAAAGGAACAAAAGCATTTCATTGAACTATTTACTTGTAGACACCAATCACTTGTATCAACTACACCATCACGAAACCAATCATCTGAACCATGATGAGCTGAGTGTTGAGGCTGAGTATTCCAATTAGTTGGTGCTGATTGTTGCGTACGATAATTTACTGTTTGTGATGTTGGTGGTGGAGTACCTTGTTCAACTGACGTTGATGCATCAGTCCATTGTGACGTTGATTGCTGTGGTAATGTTGGTGATTGTTGTTTAGTCCAATTTTCATCATTAAGCACCATTTGTGATGAAGATGTTGTTGGATTTGAAGTTTGCATATTTGTTGAAACTGGATTTTGAACAATTGATGGTTTTTGTTGTACAGTAATATTTGTTGAATTTGTTAATACTGCTTTTGTTCCATTAGTCCATTTTTTAACTGGAATTGATATTGAATCCATTGGATCACCCCATATTGATGTACCATCATCAAAATTTGCACGTTTTGTTACTTTTATATCAGGTTCATCCCAACCTAATTGTTCAACAAGTTTAGGCTGTGGTACATAAACTATTGTTGGATCTGTACTTCCACTTAAAAGATCAACATTTGCACCGCCAAGAGCTATAGCCGATTTAAGTGCACCACTGAGTGAAGCAGCCATTGAAGATGATGATGATGATGATTTATGTTTATTAATCACTGAACTACTGCTACTACCTGTTGTTAACGTAAGCGTGTCATTAGCATTACTCGACATTGATGGATCTTGCCAAGTTGTCGACGCACTAACAATAAGTGAAAAAATTGTTTGTTTTTTTTTATAAATTTTCAAAATAATAAAAGAATTAAAATAGAATCCTATTCTTTTGAAAGCTTATTTTACCTATTATTGTTCATATTATCGTTATTACTTTGAGGTAAATTAAATGGAACATTAGTTGATGTATTAGTTCCATAAAAATTGTTCATTTCCGGCCATTGATTACTTGTTGTATTGCTATTTCCAACTGTATTCGATCTGGACGGATTATTAAGTGTTTGTTGTTGTTGTTGCTGTTGGAAATTGGACCAACCATTAGCAGCTGAATTATTTGTTGTCACCGGCTTACCCCAATCAGGTGTTGGACTGGATGATTCAAGTCGATCAAAGCCTAAAGTTTGATCAATAATTAAATATTATTTTTTTAAAAACATAGCAAGAAAAAGAAAGTAAGAATCAAACAAAATAAAAACAAAGAATAAGAAAAACGTGCACAAATATTAAGAATATAAAAAGCAGAATAGTGCTCATACCATCCCCACCACCTGGTGTTTTGTGATTAGAATCAACGGATTGTTGTGATGAAGAACCAGCGATATTTGAATGTCGTTGTGTATCATCATCAATCACCCATGATGATGTTTGATTAAAATTTAAAGGCCAATTCATTTGAGATTGTTGCTGTTGTTGTTCATAAAAATTTGGTATAAAACCAGTACGTGATCCTGGAAAATTAAATACGCCGCCGTTTGAAGGTGTTAATTGAGATGGTGAACTGCTTGTGATCGTTGATGTTATACCCGATGTGTGTGCACCTCCTCCTCCTGCAGAAATCATTGTTGTTGATTGTTGAGAAGATGGTGATGAAGATGAAGGTGAATTACCAATGGCAACTCCACCACCACCACCACCACCACTGTTATTCCCTGCTGTAGATGCAGTATTTGCTGTTACTGTTGTTGTTGATGATGATGATGATGCAGACGTATTTGATGAGGTATTTGGATTTGAATTGAGAATTTGTGCCCAGGTCGGTTTTGATGGTGAGGGATAAGGCGAAGGTCCACTAACACCAGCAATATTACTACCACCACCGCCTATTTACAGATAGCAGAAGAAGAATAACAAGACAATAATGAATCAGGTTTGTTTTCTTTTTACAAAATCAAATCCAATGAAAAGAGAAAAAAAGAGAAAAAAAGCAAGCAACGTGCAGTTTTTTTTTTTTTAAATACAACACAATAAACAAATAAAAAAATAAATAAACATCTTACCGAATAATGACGAAGACGAAGAGCCTGTCGGAGATGGATGGCTCTCGTTACTCATCGTCACAGACACTTACTAGGTATTTGTGTGTTTGTGACGTTTAAAAAAAAAAGACAAGATCTAGAAGAATAAAAACGTAATAATAAGAAAGATTTATATTCTATTCGTAAACAATAAACCATGGATATAGAGATAGAATTTCTATTTTTTTCTTGTTCTCATGACTAGGAGCAGCCATGCTTGATGAACCGTTTAGAAGGAAACAAAGAATGTCGTATGTGTATGTGTGTGTAGTTTTTTTTTTTATCTAAATGCATTGACGATTCAGTTCGAAAGCGAAGGTTTTATAATGCACGACATCTATTAATAATAGATATTTTTTCTCATATGTTCTGTGAATTATTAATAATTAAAATATTTTTATTAAATTCTTTTTTGTGTTTGATTTTTTTCGATTTAATATTCTACGAAATTTTATCAAGGACAAGAACTAACGGTATCTATAAAGAAATTCAATTATTGATCCTTGTCATCACTGTCAAAGATAAACACAATTGTTGTTTTTTCTTACAGAAAGAAGTAAAAGAAAAATCCGGAAGAATCATTCATAAGAGAACAAAAAAATGCGACAATGTATTAAGAAAATAAAGAATTTAATCCGTGAAAAATCCTTTTTTTTTTGTTTTTTATTTTATTCATTGATAAGATATAGATCTTAGGTAAGAATATAAGTTTGATTTCGATATAGTTCTGCTCTTCTTTTCTTAATAATATATCAAAATTTCGTTCTTTTTCTTCAGAATATATTATTGAAAGTTCAAGAAAATCAAATGAATAATTAAAAAATTATCCATTGTTTTCTAGACACATGTTTGAATAAAATTACTGTTAGAAGAATTCTTAAATCTTGTCTAACACTTTTGATAAAAATTATCATTATTATTAATTTTTCTTTTAGAATGAAAACTTTTTCGTACGTTGAAGTGGCAATATAAATGGCAAGTATACAATAAAACTTTGGTTTAATAATACATGAACACATATACGAATAAATCAATCAAATAAGAGACAATATCAATTTGATTTTGAGTCAAACTTAAATTTTCAAGTGCCAGTAAGATTTAGAAAAAGATTTTTTAATATTTTTCTTGATTATTTAGGAAATTTCACAAGTAAAAGAATTAACTGAGCATTGTCAAAGTTGTTGTTAAACTTAAATTAAATTAGAATTTAATTATTACGATTTCTAACATGAAATATCTATCTTTGTACATATATCTTAAAATTGAATTCATTATTTGTTTAATTATATTTTATTTAAGATAATTAATGACTGAAATAGTTAGTTTAGATCCATATTTTGATGATGAAGATGTAAGTTTTTCATATTGAAAAAGAAAAACGAAAATAGATTTAAAATTCTTATAGGAAGAGAATGAAGGTAGTCTTGCTTTTCATGTTTATCTTTAAATATAAGCTCTTGCTTTGCTCTTGTGATGTGTTACTTATAAAACTATTTCTTTGTTTTGCAGAAATTTATCGACAACTGTTAAGAAAATGTGGTAAATATTATATTGATGAATTTTGATTACTTTAATGGATTTTAATATTTAGAAGCATTACCATCATGTGATCCGGCAACTGTATACTTTTTTTTTTTTGTAAATGAGAATTTCGTTTATAAGAGTTTGTTTAGTTACCGTTTTCTTCACTTTCTCAACCATGTATTTTATGTTCGAGAGTAGAAGCAGAAACTATTCTAAAGACAACGGCTGGTGTTCGAGTATAAGATATCGATGAATTTTTTTTGAGTTTCTACTTAAGTTTTCATTTTTTCTGTTAGCCTGGCAACTTTATAGTTCGTCCAAGTGCTCATATCAATCATCCATATTCATTATCTATCTTGTCTAATGATAATAATATATATCATTTTCAAATTTGTCAAATATCAAATAAATACACCTTAGAACCGTTTGAAACAGCTGATTTATTAACAAGAGAAGTAAAAAAAAAAAATGAAAAGATCATTATCAATAATATTATTATGTGTTTTTGTTTGTCTTCAGAGATTTTCTTCATTATCTTTGTTTCTTGAATATTATTCAACAAATCCAATTAAATTTAACGATAATAATGATAAAAAACATTCAATTATTTTACAATTATATTCGATTATTGAAATAACACGATTATAAAAATAAAGAATAAAAAAATACCTATTAAAATAAATCTATTCGTATTATTTATAATTACACTTGCACTTAATCTTTTTTTTTTTTTTACGAAACGAAAGACGAACGAATTCATATAAATATTTTTGTCTTTCACCCACCTTGATAAAATTTATCCTATACATTTAAATACATAGATCGATGAACGTCAAGTAAATAAAATAAAACCTACATATTTGCCGATCATATTGACGCCTACATATGACATCATTATAATTTATCCTATTCGTATTTTTCCTTATTATTATTCATCTTGTTCTCATCATTATGTTAGGTATATATAACATCGCTTTTACACTTTCGGTTAAGAGCAAGGAAAAAAGTGAGAGACACTTGAAAATCGTTTACTTCTTTCCTATTCATAATAGAACAATAAAGAAAAAAGAGAATAAATGCATAACAGAATTTACTATGCGCTTTTTCTTTTGTTTTTAGATGGTTATATATCAGTACCATCAACATAGTTCTACATTCTTCTTGTTTCATTTCAAAGTAAGCCTATGTTTTTGATATATCCTTGAATATATATATATATATATAAATAAGTAAATATTTAAAGCACATTGTATCTATTCGCTTATTCACCGCCTACTGTGTAATCAGTAAGCAATAATAACATTGTATCGTGAGTTTGTCGGTCCGTTCAAATATATCCAGATGTGTATTAGATGGGTAGTACATACAATGTATGTCTCGGATGAATGATAGATCAATTGAAGGGCTTCCGCTTTTTCTTTTTTCGTACAGTCGACAACGACAGTAAGTTTAGCCTTGACATTTTATGAAATATGTATGCGATTATCAAGGTGATTACCTTGATCGGAATTTGATGATACGTTGTTCTCTTTATTATTTTGTATGTTGTTATTATGATTTAAGGATTTTTGTATCCGAGAATAATAGTAGAAAAGGTAAAACAATGAGTTATATGATCGATTGTCTTTTTTTTCTTTTTCTAGGCGATATAGAGAAAAACAAAAAGGTATATTTTTATAATTACGAAACTGCGAAATTTAGACCCTATTTGTCTATATCTGTAAGTGCCGTGTAAATCGATCGGTAATGTTTCTTTTCACGTGTTGTCTCCCTTGAAATTGGAGAATAATAGAGCAGAACTACAGGGAGGAAGAGAGAGAGAGAGAGAGAGTAAACGAACGTGTGACTCAGTCAACGATTGGAGAAAGCTAACAGAACAAAAGTCTATCGTGTGTTCAACATTGGTGTCTGTACAGAGACCTGTGAATAGAGAAGAAGACAAGAGAGAGAGTGAAGTAAAAAAAGAGAAAAAGAAGAATGCGAGAAAAGAGAAACGAAAGAAATATAATTGCAGAGCAAGTTACAACTACTACGACGAATACATCTTATACGAGAAGTACAGGAGGAAATAGAAGAATAGATCACATAGAGTAAGTTCAAAATACAAAGCAATGTGTTTATACACACGTATATATATATATTTGACCTTTGCTATTGGCAGAATGATTCGTAATAATTATAGATAGATGATTCAACATTTTATATATATTTACTCTGAGTAAACATGCATACATTACTTTTAACTTATTCATTCATTCATTTATTGATTTATACGTATAGATCTTTTAATATTATTTTTCTTTCTAGTTGGTGATTATTAATTGATTGAAAAAATGCTCAATACGAGTAACGTTGCACATTCAATACTTGCTGAAGAAGTTGACAATTGCAATAGTAATAATAATAATAACAATAGTCTATTGCTCAATGATCTATCATTTCATAATGATGATATCATCACAAATGGATCATTACATTATGGAGTTTATGATACAACTGTGTTTGATGTACTCAAAGTTGATTCTGAAGATTTTGCTGTAAGTATTTATATTTAATATATTTTTCTATTTATCTTAACAAGCAAAAACGATATGTCATGTTAGCAACTATAAATATTATATATATATATAAGACTTGCTATATTGTTGACAAACGATTGATTGAGTAAACTTTCGTACATACATACATAATCCTCTATTCTCATTTATCGTACACGGTGTTATCTTTATCGTTGAATACTAACACCATATGTTATGATGTTGAGAAGAAAAGAAAAAAAAAGATAAGTTCATCTTATTGATGATGAACGGATGTGATCTATCGTTAAAAAGTAAACTAACATGTTGCATCGAAGAAAAAAAAAAAGATAGATAAGAAATTCTTTTTTTGATTGATATTCCTCATGGGAAATATGCATTGAAATTTTTATATATTGAACATTTGCTAATTCACAATTGTTGATTAAAAAGCAGTTCATTATCAAAATAATATTTTTTTTTTTTTTATTTTTTTTTTAGTCACAAATCACATTAATGGATCTTCCAGCATTTAAAGCTATAACTCCCGATGTATGTTGTTTAAAATTGATAAATAGAAAAGATAATCTTTGCTTTTTTTTGTTGTTTACTTTACAGGAATTAATAAGTTGTAATTGGAGTTCAAAAGCTAAACTCGAAAAAGCCTTTCATATTGTTCAATTTACACGTCGATTTAATCAAGTTTGTTATTTAATTGTAAAAATCTTTTATTTTATTTTTTAAATTATAGGTTAATTTTTGGGTTCAAGGTGAACTTTTACGTGCTGATATACTTAAAAATCGCATTGAAATCTTATCACATTTTGTTCGAGTTGCGAAAGTAAATTTTTTCGAAACTTTACAAAAAAAAACAAGTATGAAACATACATTCTTTTATTTTTTTTAGAAACTGTATGAATTCAATAATATTAATGCATGTATGGCTGTTGTTATGGCTTTACAAAGTGCCCCTATTTATCGATTACAAAGAACTTGGGCGGTAAAATAAAACAATATATTTATTTTAAATAGAATTTTTTTTTTTTTCTAATTTTAGGGTCTTAGTAAACGTGATCGAACAACATTTTCAAATTTAAAAGAATTTGTATCATCAAATGAAAATTGGAAACGATTAAGACATCATTTAACAAACACAAAATTACCATGTATTCCATATCTTGGTAAGAAATAAAAAAATTTTTTCAAATAAAATCTTTTTTTTTTATTCGAAAGGCATTTATTTAACTGATATTATCCGTATTGATACACTACATCCACATAGTGGTGGACTTGAAACAAATCAACGTAAAAATGCTATGAATAATATATGTCGACTTATATCAGAATTTCAACAATCAACATATGGTTTGTTTTATTGATAGAAAAAATATATAATAAACAAAACATTAAAATATTTTAGAATTTCTTAAACCAATTGAATGCGTACAAAATTATCTTGCATCTGTACGTTATATGGAAGAATTACAAACATTTGTTGAAGATCAAAATTTTAAACAATCATTAACTATTGAACCTGATCAAATAAATACTGATCATAATGATTCACATTATGATCGAACACCAAAAAATTTAGAAAAATCAGCATCATTTAAAATTTCTCATGTTGATCAACATTCAACATGTTCACATAGACGAACACTTAGTGATTATAATCAGTATGTTTAAATTTAAAAACAGAAAAAAAAAAAAAAGAACAGAATTTTTTTGTTTCTTTTTTTTTTAGTTCAAATTGTTTATCATCATCAAATAAATCTGCAACATTACCTTGTAGAACACATGAAAAGAAAAGTTTATTAGATGATAGTGTACTTGCAGATTGTATGCAAGAAGAAACTCGATCTAGTAAGTGTTAAATTTAAAATAAAAATTTGATTTTGATAGATAATATAAAATCTTTTAGGTCTTTTATTATGTAAAGGTAAAATAATTCGTTAACCTTTTTTTTCTTGTTGGCAACAAAACATGCTTTGCTTATGATTTTTGTTTTACTTGAGAAAAATAATATTCTAATACTGTCAAATCTGACACTAGAAAAATATAAGAATAACAATTATCACATAAATTAATTCTACTTACCTATAACATGTTTGTGTTTCGTTTGAATGTTAACCCAATTTTATATGAATGAGTCAGGCATTTTAAGTTTTTAGAATGAAAATATTCATATTAAGCTGTTAGAATATGGTACACTTATGAGGAAACATATCCAACTGTTAGACACTGTTTGGACTATGAATTAGTAAAATAGGTTCCGGCACATGTGTTACCCAACTGAAATTATAACTATTTTAGTATATTTTCGGCCTTTGGATCTGCTATTGATGAAAATTTTGCCCATCGACAGGTTGTGTAGCTGTTAGAATATTATAAAAATTTCATCTCAAATAAATGCATTCTTCTTGAGATGCCAAGTATTCAATAAATATTTATGTGTTATTAGATTAGCCATAGAATTGAGTTGTTTTTAGACATTTGATATTTCAACAGAGATACATTCTTTTGAGCTGAAATTTTTGCAATATTCTAGTGATTATGCGACGTGTTTATGAGCGAAATTTCAGACAAAAAAAATCTCATAATCGAATTTTCCATAAGTAAGCTGGTGCATAAATCGAACATCTACTCAAACATTCATAATTCTTACTGAATAATATATATGTCCAAACTTATTTCGCATTTTTTTAGTTCCGCTGAGTCATAGTCAATATGTCATAGCGTCTAACAGATGAATATGTGTCCTCGTTAGCCATATACTTCGAAGTGCAGATTCCAACAGATATTTATCAATTTTTTCATAGAGAAATTTGTTACATCTCTATATAGCAGATCAATATCTCAAAAACAAATAAAACCTGTCGTTCATTGAAATTTTTATATATTAACCAATTAAAATCATGTCATGATTTAATATTTACATTAGAAAGATTTTCGAAAGAAGAAGAAGAAAAAAAAAAAACATTGAATTTCTTTTGTTTCTATGATACTTAAGCGAAATAAGTTTTCTTTTCAAACAGTATGAAACCATTTTTTTTTAGTTTTTTGAAAAATGAAGAAGATAATTTTAATTAGTTTCTTGATATATTTATTTAACTTAGAATGCTTCTTCTCATTATCTCACATCCTGCTTATAATTCTTAAATAAATAATAATATTTTCTTATTAATTAATGGTTATTTTTAGGTATAGATTCAAGTGATTCATGTGAAGAAGCAATACGTAAAGCAAAAGAATATATAAAGAACAGTGGAAAACATCATCATATAGCTCAGGGAATGTCTGTTTCATTATCATCATTATCAATGAAAGAACCATTAAATCCACATAATGATCCATTAGTAACATCTAATTTTAATTTTGAAGGTTCATTACAACGTAAATGTCTTTTAAAAAATTATAAAAAACCAACTATAGCAAAATGGAAAAAATATTGGGTTGCTATATGTGAACATTTACTTTTTTTTCATAAACAAAAACCTTTTATAATGACATTACATATGCGTTTAAATCGTACAAATCGACAAACAGCAACAAATAGTGATAGTGATAATATATCTACAACACAATCAGCTCCACCATTGATAAATACATCATCAAATCGAACATTAATTGAATCTGAAAGATTATTTTATAGACAAAATCCAACTAAATGTCAATCAGTATCTGATTGGCTTATTGTACTTAGTCAAACAAAAAATCGAAATGAAATTCAATTAAGTGATTTAAATAGAGGTATTATTTATTTGATAGTTATCTTTCAAAAAAAAAAAACTAAACTAAACTAAAAAGTTAATTTTAAATATTGTATTTAGGATCAATGTATAAATTTAAATTTGAAAATGCAGCTGTAGCAAATATATGGTTTCAACGTTTGAAAGAAGCATCAATATTTAAACAAAATAGTGGTCGACGTTCAGAAAATTTAATTGCATTAGATTAATACTTCTAATCAAAACAAATTTATTATTTGTTTTGAATAATCACGTTCAAAATTGAGAATTAATTATCATTATCACTAGTCACGATTATGCGTGCGGATATTTGTTATTGAAAACAAGAAGAAAAAGAAAAAAAAAATCCACGAAGCTTCCTTATCTTTCTTCTTTTTTTTTTACCTATATTTCTTATTTTGTGTGTATGGTAGATATTTTAGTTTAGTATATAATCTCGTTCCTTTTTTTTTTTTTTTCTATGTATATTGTTGTGTGTGTTTGTCGAAAAATAATGTTTTCTTTTCGTGTGCAAATTTTGATATACTGAAATAAGAAATAATAAAAAGCGCAGTGAAACTGTCAGCGCAGAAAATTAATACAATGTCTTCATTCTTGTAAAATTTGCTTAAGTAATACAAAGGAAATGAAAGCAGTCATTGTACAAAAAAAAAACGAAATAATATGGAAATATTTTTACTGATTAATTTCATTTGGTTAATAAAAAATATCAGATATAGTTTTAGTTGATTGCATTTTTGGATAGACATATATGATTGTTTTTATTTTAGATAGGTTTCTTGTTGAATGGATCGATCAAAGTCACATGATGAGATCCGAAATCGAAGGTCAACGAATAATAAAGTACCAGCTGGGTAAATAATTATTTATTATCGATCTGAAAATGAATCGTGTTTATATATGTATATAGTTGGCTTGATTATTCTTCATTGAATACATGGATTGAAAATACTCGTTTTGTTCCATTCAAATGTCCTTTACGATGGGTTAAGTATAAATACAGTTTATAGAGAATAAAATCGAATATGAATTGTTTGATTTTTATAGTCAATCTTACGAAATATTAATAAACAAGACCGATTTTCTTTGAATGATTTAATTGAACATTTGGAAAATCAAGGACGAAAAATTGGTTTAATTATTGATTTAACTGATACTTATCGATATTATGATTGTCGAGTAAGTTCTATTGAAAATCAATATAAAAAATTTAATTTTTTTCTTTTTGTTATATAAAAACATAGGATGTAGAAGATATGGGTATCGAATATTGTAAAATTCGAGTACCAGGACATCAAGATGTGTCAGATAAAATTTTTCACAAATTTGTTCATGTTGTTAATACTTTCTTACGAGATAATCGACAAAATAGTAAAAAAATAATTGAAAAAGTTTTCTAGATTGTACTTTTTTCTTTTCTTAGACAATCTTATAGGTATTCATTGTACACATGGAATAAATCGAAGTGGTTATTTTATTGTTAGGTAAAATTTTTGACTTTTATATTATATGTATCAAACAATATATGATAATTTAGATACTTAATTGAAATACTTGGTCAGCAACCGGATGATGCTATTGGTGGTAAGTTTTTATTATTATCAAAGAAAGATAGTTCTATATAATTAATATATTAGCATTTAATCGAGCACGTGGACATACAATTGAAAAAAATATTGATGATCTTAGAAAACGAAAATCAATGAAGTAAACTTTTCTTTTGTCATCTAATCTTATACAATTGAGTTTTTTATACTTTAGTGCTCCTTCATCATCATCCGACCAAGAAGATGATGATTACTATATAGAACGAGATCGACCATTACCATATAGTAGGCCATCAACAAATCCAACTTTAAATGATGTCTCATCGGAAACATCAGAAATTCTTGTATAGTTATTGTTTTCGATACAATTATCTATCGTTATATTTTGTTAAATAATTTTGATCTTTGCTATATTTCAACTATTTTTGACATCGATCAAATAGAACAGAAAAATACTTAAGAATCGTTATAAATAAACCACTGAATAAATAAATAAAAACAAAGAGATAATAATTTTCTAAATATTCTCAAATGATATTGTTAATGACACTATCCTTGATTAAATGTATCGATTAGATAACATAGTTTTATCGAAAAAGGCTTCAATATTTTAAATAAAAATTGCGAGAGAAAGAGAAAGTAATGCATCAATTTATTTGGAGTACACTTGAAACATATGACGATTCCCAAACATTAGTTACGCTTAACAATATGAGTGAGTGGTAATTACTTGATGCTTTTTTTTTTATAAAAAGACGCTGAATCACTCAGCCCGCCAGGTAAAAAAAAAACTAACAATACATGAGAACGATAAAAGAACGTACAATAATTTTTGGATTCCAGTCACGATGCTCAATTAGTGATATCTATCGCAATTAAAAATCTACCACTGTTGCATCACAGTCGTATGCACAAATTGGTATCGCGTCATAGCCATGAAAACATTAAAGCGAAATTCATACTGTCGATATGATCATTCAATTGAGAGAATAATAGTTTTCGATTTTATAATAATTATTAAGCGTAATATATACGACAAATAATAAAAATAAAAATACTGCAATAATGACAAAATCTAAATTTTATAGAGAATGTTAGTTTCTTTCAGTTCATTCGTAAAAGAAGGAGATCAGGTAAATAAAAGTAAGTAGCCTTGTGTTTTTTAAAGTAAGTTACAAATAAAAAAACATAACCAAAAAAAGAAAACTATGCAAATTCGAAACTTATGAATAGATCTCAATAAAATTAATATTTGCATTTAATTCAAAGCAATTATGACAAATATAAATTTACTACCAATCACGAACTACTTAGATGAAATACCAATTGATAAAGTACGATCAGAGAACGATAAACCTGATTTCAAATATTATCAATATTCGTAATCAATTGATTTTACAAATATGTATCTTCTCTTTTTTTCTTATAAAGATTGATTGCCGTTCAATAATGAAAAAAAATACGATTAATAGAGGGGGAGTGACAAACTGACAGGATGTCTCGTTTTGATACAGTTCTATTGTACGGATAAAACTCACTATTGTCCGGGCCATATAAGAGAGGATCCTGCATAACCCTGGATTGGCTCGAACAACACCATGTTTTATCGTGGGTGTGGGTGTGGGTGTGGGTGTGGGTGTGGGTGTGGGTGTGGGGGTGGGTGTGGGGGTGGGGGTGGGGGTGGGTGTGGGGGTGGGTCTGGGTGAGGGTGTGGGTGTGGGTGTGGGT